CTCGGGCATTGCGCTGTGTCTTGCCGCTAATCCAGTCTGATACAACCTTGTACCAGTCCTCCCTGGGTCTCGTTCTTGGACGCGGCGCTCGACGGCTTGGGGGTCGGGGGAGGCAACCTGGATAGTGTAAATTGAATTATAAAGCGGCCTGCAAGTGCACCGTATATCCTCGCTGTGCACTCGCAGTCAACGCCGCATAGTGTAAAGAAGGCGGATGGAACGGAACGAGAGGCGCTCGTGTATAAACAAAGGACAGGGGTGTCCAAAACCCCAGACCGAGACGTGCTGAGCTTTTCGTGCCCATATCATGCCCAAGCCCAAACAGCGGAGCAAAGTATTGCGGGAGAAGGCTTCGAGGACTAGATGAGGATGTATGGAGTAGTGAGCGAAAGTCGGGGCGTACACGTGCAAACTAATCCGGGCAGGTCTCTAGCTCAACATACAAGATGAGTGTTGGCCCCTACGTGAATCAAATGTGTGGCGCATAAGTGGTCAGAGGATGGAGCACGGATGGTGGCGGCGCGCTTGGGAACGTACACAATGAGAGAGCAGCTCGTGTGTGAGTACTCTCGGTGATAACCGTTAGAAAGGCAGCATCGACTCAAGTTCTCGATGCGACTTCAACTTGCCCGCAAAGATGATGCGGTTCGTGGTGGGTCGGACAAGACTGGCGTAAAGTCGAGTTGTTGGTAACTCGTCAGCTACTTCGTGATAATTGCGAGCGTAGCGAGCAATCATGCTCTAAAGGGTTCAAGGCCCGTGCAAATAAGGCCAAACAAATTCTGTGTACTTTGGAGTAGTGATGTGCCAGGCCAGGCTCAAAGCCCGGAGCCTTGCCATACCCAGCCTGAGTTGAGCCCGGCCCAGCCAAGCCGTATCGCAGGCTTTGGTAGGCTCAGGGCTGGGCGCAACAATTTGGAGGCCCGAAGCCTGAGGCCTTGACGCGGGCCTCAAAGTTTGACGCGGAGATTTCCGATCAACTGTATAGCCATTCTGGTGGGTCAACAATACTTTGTTGGCGTACTAAATTTATCTAGGAAGTATGGCCACTGGCGCCGGTGTAGAACCACGCTCTAAGCGTTCCGGTAAAGCATCTGCACGGGTGCTAGATCCTGTGAATGTTGGCAAGAAACAGTTGTCCTCGCACAAGGCTGCTCAAGCAGAGGCCATTCAAAAAGCGCGGGAAGCAGAGGCTCTTCGATGAGCACAAGAAGAAGCCGAGGATGCGGCTTCCCATGATGGTCCACCATCAACTTCCCAGGAGCCTATGGACATAGAGGGGGATTCAGATGATCATGGGAATGACAGCGAACGTGGGTCAATTCATCTCACATGCCTTTGCTTTGCTCCCTCACGTCGTCCCAGATACTCCCGGGTCAGTGCGGGCCAGCAAGCGCAAACGAGCCCACACTGCCATTGACGCAGAATCTGACGAAGATCCTATACCACCGACATCAAGTACGGCCTCAAAACGACAAAAGCCTGTTGCGAAGCCACGACCTGGTAAGATTATGTTCGTTCTTGTAATGCAGCCTAACACCTCATCACCTAGCTTTAGTAACTGAAGAAGTCGATGAAGACGGCTTCCTGAAGGATATCAGCGTCCAGGACATCAATGATGAAGCTCCCCGGAAACAACGGGAAGACAGTAGCCGTGACATTCAAGTGTTCTTCTCTGAAGCATTCGAGACCCAGACCTCAGATGGGAAGAGGAGATGGCGACGGTGCATAAAATGCCCTAGGTGAGCGGTTATATGATACATGTATAATCAAGCCATATCCTCACGTTACCTGCATTAGAAAGCATGGCGACGAGCAACCATCATTCGTCGCTGATGTCAGTACACTGCGTAGACATGTGGAGTCAAACCACCGGGTACGTACCCTAAGTTGGTACGGTAATCTTCTCACAGGGTATCATTTTTTAGGCAGCATACATGGATTGGTGTGCGGCAAATGACTTCGAACCAAAACTGCCCAAGTATCGTGCTCAGATTCGCGAAAAGAAGGCAGCGAGCCGGCAGAAAACATTGGAGCCACATCTCAAGGAGATGCCAACATGTGCTCTACCATATAGTGACCATTTATATCACGAGGCGGCGATTCACTGGCTGGTAGAGAATGACTTGGTATGTACATCTACTCGGTCTACAAAGTTACTTGCTATCTAATGCACTATAGCCTATACAAGCCCTCGAACACCCATCATTTCGAAGCATGATTGATATTGCTGCCCGCACAACGAACGGAGTCAAGCACCTTACACGCAAGATGACACGCCAACAAATCATGGATACCTTCAAACGTTCTCTGACGAAGATACAAGACCGTGTCAACGTAAGTCCATCATTTCAAGCTAATGTCTAGTCTAATCCTGCGAGAGTAGAGTGAGATGGTCAAGGGCTGTGTGAGCTTGACGTGCGATTGCTGGCAGGCGTCAAACGTTGATGCTTACTTTGCGGTCACGGCTCATTGGATCGAGGAGGAGCGGCCAGGTGTCTGGAGGATGGGCATGGCACTCATTGGCTTCACGCAGCTCAATAATTCCCACAACGGTAGGCGCCTCGGTCAAGCCCTCTATAAAGTTGTTGCCCGGGTACAGATCCAACGCAAAGTAAGTGTTATCTATGACGACGCCCCGCCATTACGCTATACATGGTAATTAATGCACGTTAGGTGGGATATATTACATGTGATAATGCGTCAAATAACATCACAATGCTCGATAATTTTGCCCAATGCATGCGCGATGATGGATATTCCTTTGACCGCTATGAACAGCATATACGGTAAGCGTAGGGATTATAAGCATTGGTCTGAACGGAGGCTAATTGACGTCTAGATGTATTGCTCATGTCGTTAATCTTGCAACCCAATTGCTTCTGAATACATACAGCAAATCCAAGTACTACGACCCGGCCCATCCTGAGCAAGATCTTCTACTCGATGAATCGGAAACCCAGCGAGATGAGATTGGGCTGATTCGAACGATCTCAATCAAGGTAAGCCTATGGATTACCACATACAGGCTACAGTGTTTCCATGTCACGTTTAGGAGCGATCATCATCAAAGCGGAAGGAAATATTCCTTGATATTCAGCGTAGCCATCCTCCAAGTTCAAGATATACACATCCCGTACATCTCAAGAATGACATGGCCGTCCGATGGTCCTCAATATATATAATGCTTGACCGGGCGGAATCACTTAAAACGGTATGCTAGTAATACATCGGAATGACTAACTGACATTACTATAATAGGTCGTTGATGCCTTCCTACGCCGTTTGATGAGTGAAGAGACGTCTCGAAGTAAGTGTGATAAGCTCAATGCACTTATCCCTACTGCCGAAGAGTGGAAGCAAGTCCAGTCATGTGTCGGTTTATTGGCAGTATGTGTGCGAGGTTGCTCATTTACCAGGGTCACTACTTATTCGTGATTCTGATAGCATGCTGATAATGCCCAGCAAGCGTTCTCGTCGGAGAATGGCCCCTCGCTTCACCTGGTATTACCTGCATTGGAGGCGCTTCATCGGGCCTGGAAGGTGCGCTCCGATCCCCTTGCATGGCCCAAATATGCTCGGTTTGTGCCTGCCTTAGAAGCCGCACTGGAGAAGATCACGGAATACTACAGTTATACTGAAGATTCAGACGCATATACGACCGTAATGTGTACGTCCACCGTTACCTGTACGCATAACCGCATGTCGGTAACTCGTCATGATACAGTTCTTGATCCGTCTTCAAAAGGCGAGCATATAAGAAAGCATTGGGGCGAGGATCTTTACAAGACCGCGTTGAATCGTCTGGAAGACATTGTGCGTTCATATCCCTATGATCTACCCCATCATCGTCTCATTGTTTACTTAAGTATCGGGACCGATACGAGGCTCTTTACACCAACGAATCTCAAGGCCCTACACCAGGTTCCCAATGTGCTGATTCCTCGACTGGCCGCAAAATCACTTGCCTCCTTCGTGAACTCTCAGATGATGAGGCCGATTCCATTGCCGCACAAAACACTACAACCGCCAACCCACTTAGGCCATGGTTACCAGGATTTAATGAGTACATTCGGACACCTAAGGAGAAGCTCAATGGGCTTCCCAGCGTTGAGTGGTGGGGCGTGAGTTCAATCAACTTCAATACTATATTGTGTTGTCCTCGCTAACTGACATATAGATTAACTCGAAACGGCTCCATGTATGGGCCTCCCTTGCTCGCGACTACCTTCCTATCATGGCGTCGTCAGTATCGAGTGAGCGCGCCTTTTCATCGGCGGGTATAACCATTACAAAACGGCGCAACCGGCTCAAGGGAGACGTTGTTGAAGCGCTGCAGGTACTCAAGTCAGTTTATCGGCGGAATATATTCTTCGAGGGAGAGTCGCTGGATGATAACGAAGACAGGGAAGATTTTGAGGACTTGGGCAATGATCTTTTCTTGGTGAATGATGATGGTGGTGAATTCACTGAACCTGATGACGACGGCGAAGACAACTTTACTATACAATCATTAGATTAGTGAACTACCTACACATTGTACTGTCAGCCTGGGCTTGAGCCCGAGCCCGGGCCCAACCCTTCTCAAGCCCACACACGAGGCTGGGCCTGTAAATTGTACAAGCCTGAGCCTTTGTATACCCGGCCCAAGCCTTGGGCTTCTGAGCCCAGCCCAGCCCACACATCACTACTTTGGAGGCTCGGTCGTGTTTTTTTCTGGCTGAACTGGCCTCTTTTCCACAATTCTGAATCATGGGAAGTGTGGATTTTGCTTGCCGTGGTTGGTTTGCGCCAAGAAAGCAGCACTTTTGGTAGAGATTTGATGATTTAAGACCGTAATTTGGCGAAGGTTGTTCAACTTCCATCAACGAGACTTGCTGACGTGGCGCGCGCCTAATTCTCTGAGCTTACGGTGTACGCACTGGGTGCATACCGATGAGAACTCATATGCGCCCTCCTAGCGCTCATAGATTCTACGCAAGTAATAGCTAGCCATCTACCTAGTCTAGGAATATACACTGAATCCTTGCCCTAGCACTTCGAAGCGAGCTACCACCGGCGCGGCCCGTACTGTACTCGCCCGTTGCGCCTTGGATAGCTTTTTTGAAGAGAGCCTTGAACTCATCTGAGTACTCTCCATCTTCCTCGATAATCGGTATCGTAGCTGATATCCAAGGGATTGACGTAGCTGGGGTAGGGGATGGTGTGTAGTACTGTACCATTACGACTAACTGTTCAGTCACACGTCACAGCAAGTTCAAAATGAACACTGGGACGGTTGGGATCACGCGAAATCGGAGCGGTCGAACACTAAAAATGGCAAATTTACTCAGTCTTTAGTCCCCTGATACAACTCCGCGCGTCGGGCATGCTTCCGAGGGTCCGCTTTGGGTAATAGAGATCGGGAACGGCGCAGAACACCTGTTGGACTCCGAACACCCCGTCGGTGCTGCAACTGCTTGTCGCGACCCGCACACATCGCGCTATTGATCTTCCTGACACATTAGCAAAAATTGGAGTTCCCGCACTTTCAGATTATGACAATGACTCAGTGTATTCCATACATCCTCCGGATTCCTCCCAGAACAGCCCCGCTGTGTCCCCTTCACTAGGTAGGAGCTAGGTAGACTGTAGCATAGTCCTTATATACCTAGTATGCTCAACCACACCCGGCGGACTCTCTATTAGATCAATAGACTTGATGCTTACTTAGGTCTCTTTATGATATCACCATCGAATTTCCTTACAGTCAGAATCTGGAAAGCACAAGGCAGCATGACTTCAGCCAAGTGATGCTCAACTGCTCAAGCTCAAGGGCAAAACCTATCATCATTTAAATCGCGGTGCAGTTCTGTTAAAAAGCAGGCCGCCTGTATATTTCCATTCTAGTGAATTTTGATTCTTTATTCTTTACCAGTCAAGAGGGCGCACCACCCCTTGGCCGCCGTTGACAAGGAGTATTCGAGGGCCGAGTCCCGCCATTTGCCCAGTTTGGCATTAGGTGCAGAGAAACTCGCATTACCCAATATCCGAGTTGTATCAGGGGACTACATACTCAAATTTACTCTCGGCCTACGGCCGAAATGAACACTTGAAGCTATTTTCCGTCCGGTGTCACGGTTGCCAAACCCAAAATGAACACTTCCGGCCGTGAACAGTTTGCGTAACACGTCACAGGCCGTGAACACTTAGTTGTAATGGTACAGTACTCTTGGTGACATATTTTAGTTGGATCGATGGGGGGAGTTGTGGTCCTCTTGAATCTGTGGAACCGTACCCAACGCCCACAGGCACCTACGATCCAGAAGACTTGAAGAGTGGACCACATATGGAAAATGAACTGAGCTTGTTGTACAATCTGAGGCATGGCAGATTTGATAGTGCTAGTAGCATTCGTTTTCGTTATCATGTGATCCGTTTCGCCGTCCTCGGGACTTCGAGCCTTGGGGACTTTGAGTTTGAATGCGATCGCAGGGAGACGAGGAACAATGTTGGCATCAGGAAAGAATGTTTGATACAAGGCCAGTGGCATGCGAATCAGAAACATGGCATCCGTTACGCGTATCGTGTGCACAGAGATGTCTTCGGGAGCGGTTGAAGCTGTCGAGGTGGAAATACTCTCAGCGTTCTTATGATCGACATTGGCATTTGCTGCGGCCTTGGCAGCTTTCGTTTGAGAGCGCGTCCCCCCAACCTCAGAACTGCCCCACTTGGGACCGTCGAGTCCTACATAAGGCAGGAATGAGGCCACAATTATGATGGGGCGGAACAACACCCACCATGGTCTAAGAGACGATCCACCTCGGCCGATGTTTTACCCTTGCCTTCGGCAGAGAATTGGCCTTGGACCTCGGGAGTATCGAGGGCCTGTGTACGAGTTATGACCATGAGTTTATGCCAATCTGGAATTGAACTGGTAGAACTTACTCTTTCATGCTTTTCGTGGCCTGGAGTCCAGCTGGGATCCCGTATCTTATCAAGGTCGTCAGGAGTATAATCTGTGGCATAGTGGAGTTCGTATTGCGGATACGTGTCAAGTTTGACATTGCCAGATGCGCTCGAGTAGATGGCACGCAGATGGGGCATTATCGTCCCAACCAAAAGGCCATACCAAGGAGCCTCGCGTGTTTGCAGGCTAAGTTGATTGTACATCACAAGCTTCGTCTCAACATGGTCTTCATTGTTGATCTGAACGTCCTTGGGCCGCTTGCTACCCAGATTGAATGAAAGTTGAAGGGGCGGGGATGCAGCCATGCTAGAGTTTACCGTTGCGGTGTCCCCAGGTTCCACTTTTATATTCATTCAATTAAAAATGACAATGGGGCGGGCCTTATACAGCCCCCATTTCGAATAATGAACGAATGATCGATGCGACGACAGCCGGAACAATAGTAGCCTGCGTTATCCAGAAAACATAAGAACAATGGCGCTGGGGAAGAATGGGACTTCGAACAATAGCTATTAGTTGATCACGTGGATGTTGAAATTTGAAAACCGTTAAATACATTACAAGTCCCTCAACATTAACCACGACCATCGACATGCATAAACGACCAGTTATGCTCGTACCAAAGTCTTTCCCTTTCTCCCCGCCCAATGGCACAACATACCAGCAGGGGGTAATGTTCTGTCTTCCCACTTCCTTTGCCCCTTCTCACCGATCTCGTCTAGGATGAAAAGCAGCTCTGCAAGAAGACACCAATATCCATCCGGGACATACATCCCTGTCTGCTCGGTTCTCGGGACCCCCATTTTCTACCTCCGACGTTCCATCTTGGGTGGGCTGTCGGCGAAGACAAGCTACTGGAACTTCTTATAAAAGAGTTTCCTGCATATATTCAATATTCGGAACCAGACGGCAAGGGCGTGCCTCTGTGGGAGTCAATCTTCTGCATAGTCGATGGTATTATTCAAGACTTCAATATCCCGGAGGAGCTCCATGAGTGTCTCGAAGTCGCAGACGTTCTACGACCAGACGGCACCATACATCTAGCGCTCTGTGTCGGCGACAATAGAATTGGTATCCTTCGTCCTCAACCCGGCGCAATTGACAAAATTGCAGAGAGATTCTTTAACGGTGAACCACCCCAGTGGCATTTAGACCCCATCCACTGGCGGTGGAAGCAAAAGCGTGCGTGTACTACATATTTGCCACGTTTGTCTTTGGCTCAATACTTGTCGAACAGTTCCTCGCGTCCTTTCTCCCAGCGAAGCTAGAGAGTGGGCAGCCCGAATGAACGCGCGAGATGCCGCCTTGGAGAAGTTAAAGGACATTCACATCTCAGCGTGAAATTAACTCTTGTCTCCTACACTATGTCTATGTTTTCTATCGTCATTCTCTGTACTCATATTAGAGTAACGCTGTGTCGTTTCCGTCCAACTTTCATCTTGCACACATAAATCATAAATGAGGAAGACACGACCCCTCCTTGCCCCTTCCTTCAAGCATACCATGCGACGGCGCCGAGCGCGATGTCTCGCACTAATACTCGATGCGCAGATGCCGACTTGGTTCACTGCGCATACTCGATCACATTACATGCATGTCCACCACTAAGGTGGGTTGCTTTCCTCTCATAGAATACTTTATCACTTACATTCGGAGTCATGAAGCGATTCAACTCGTTCGGTTTGCTAACATCCCTTTACGGAGCGTAGATATCCTCCCATTTGATCTCTGTCGACTCAACTGCACCCTTTCTTGCTCTACAAGGTCCGCACAATACGATTGTGGGAGACTTAGTGCTGGGCGCGGTTTGCGCTCGGTCCCACATTTGGCTAGAACCAATCCTCAGATATTGTACCGCTTTCTCGTTGTCCTCGTCCTCCGTGTCCGGAAGCGTATCGTTTAAGGCTCAACGCTCAACATTTGGATACACCCCAAAGAGTCGGCGCCAACCAACCGCCCCTCCCAGCAGTCCGACAGGCCTGAACCTACTCTTGTCCTTGTTACCACTTGTACCTTTTTTAAACCAAGTTTGACGAGTCGCTCTGTATGAAATGCGGCGAACAAGTGCGTTTCGTGGCGATTTGGCTGCTGAGTGGTGTGGCTTACTGATTCGAACGAGTCCTAGTAGGGTATCACTCGCATGCTTCTTACGTCGATCCCGTATTTCCGAGAGGTCATCGTCATGTCATTTCGATGCGAACATTGCGGAGCGACAAACAACGAAGTGCAGTCTGCGGGGGAGATCAGGCGTATGCTGGCATTCTCATAATATGAACGGCTCAATATTAACGTGATCATAGCTGAGGGAATATCATATACCGTCCGTGTCCTCGCCCGTCCGGACTTGAATCGCCAGATCGTTCGTTCAGCGACTTGCGACATTGCTATCCCTGAATACCAGCTCACGTTACCCGCATCGTCTCGAGGACAGCTTACCACCGTCGAGGGCCTCATCCGAGACGTCGTTGCCGACCTCAGCCTCGACCAACCCGTCCGACAATATCAAGACCCCGAAAGCTACGCCAAAATCCAGGCGCTGATCGCCCAGCTCAAGGAAATCCTGGCGGATGAGGAGAACGATGACGACGACGATAAGGATGGGGAGAAGCCAGGAGTCGTAGTGCTCAGACATGTCGCTGACAAGGACAATATTCCTATGCCGCCATTCACGATCAAGCTCGACGATCCGTCTGGGAACTCATTCATCGAGTTCGTTGGGAGTATGGCTGATCCGAAGTGGACTATGAAGACCTACCCCCGAACGCTCCAGCAAAATATTGATCTGGGCTTGGTAGCGGATGAGGGGAAAGAACCGAGCAAAGAGGTGGAAACGATCGGCGGGGACGGGGTGAATGAAGAGATATTCGTTTTCCATGGGACGTGTTCGAGTTGCGGACACCCTTTGGATACCATGATGAAGAAGGTCAACATACCCTACTTCAAGGACATTATAATCATGTCCACGAACTGCGACCGGTGCGGGTACCGAGACAACGAGGTCAAGTCTGGCTCAGCAATCTCCGAGCAGGGCAAGCGGATAACGTTGAAAGTTGAGGATAAGGAGGATCTCAGCCGAGATATCCTCAAGGTTGGTCCTTTGCTCCATAACGCCTAATATCTTTCTCATACCTCGGTGCACTAGAGCGAAACAGCAGGCTTGACAATCCCCGAGATCGACCTGGTGCTGTCACATGGAACTCTGGGTGGACGATTTACGACGCTGGAGGGTATATTAGAACAAGTGTACGAGGAATTATCAGAGAAGGTCTTTGCAAACGAGGCGGGAGACTCGAAGGATCCAAAAGACCGCAACTCCTTCGAAGACTTCCTGAAGAACCTCAAAGAGGTATGTTAATTATCCTTCCCTTCCATCGAGTCACAATCAACCGGCCACAGGTCAAGAACGCCGAGCGACCGTTTACACTGATCCTCGATGACCCTCTCGCCAATTCATACGTGCAGAACTTGTACGCGCCCGACCCAGACCCAAATATGGAAGTCGAGATGTACGACCGCTCGTTCGACCAGAACGAAGAACTAGGGTTGAATGATATCAAAGTAGAGGGGTATGACAACGACGTCGAGGCCGCAGGGGAGCAGAAAGCAGAGAAGGAAGTCGTAAAGCCATAGATCTGTATTATTGCGGCCCCTGTCGCGCGCGACGGGGGCGCAAGTCGAGATGAATATCTGGAGGGATCATCTTTTTCTTGAAGAGTCCCGACGCTTTCTTCCAGGCAGACATGGTAAGAATGAAGAAGTGGATGAGTACTATAAGCCAAGGGCGTCGATATTGTCCACTGAGGGTTGCGTAGATGCCATGATGAAGGCAACGTAGAAGGACTTTGATACAAATTTCGATCTCAGCCAAAAGTTTTGAAATGTACGCCCACCAAGAATAACTTGAACAAGGAGATAACCTAGGAATACCTTGCGAACATGCTCAAGCATGGTCGCTTTACGAGGCGCCACCAAGAAGTCACCTTTACGCCCCCTCGAGGCGGCGAAAGCTAGCCGCAAATAGTCTGAGGAGAACATGATGTGAGTTGCTCACTATCGACGCCTCTTCAAGGCGCTGAACCGCAGTCAAACTGCTCACTTGAGAGTCGTACTTGGACGTAGCGCCACATCTTGGCAAAAATTCCGCCACGGCACGGCGCACTGGGTGAATCATCCTCAGTGAACGGACTCCTGCGCCTCGTACAAGAATGTAGCGCCTCCTCCTTGGTGCGCCATACTCGAGGCAAGTAACTCACCCCGTTTCCTCGAAACGAGAGTGCCCCATTGAACTACAAACGGTACAAATGACTTGCGAGTCTCTGATGCCTACTCCCCACCAGTTCCGACTATCTACATGTAAGTTCATCCCACTGCTATCATATCCTACTCGCAGTCACATGAACATTACTCAGACTCACGACCACACCAAGTCGCAATACTTATGCTCAACACAATTCGACGCCGATTCATGCATACAATCCGCTGGATTGACCCCAATGTGCTCTCCACGCAGCCACGGAGGAAAGCGAAGTTAGAGCAAAGAGTAATGGAATACGCCGATGAGACAGGACTGACAGCGAAGGGTGCAGAACTGGCAGACATCAGGCGAGTCTTCGCATACGGTCGAGATGTAGTAATATGACTCTAACGAGCGATTCCTAGAGGACCACCACACACTGGAGGCACGAAGCAGGATGAGGGGAACCACTTGACCGATGACATGCGGAGAGGAGATGGGTCACATCTGATGACCGTACATGTAGATGTTCCAGTAGCGCACGACAACAACGACTGACTTGGCGTTCATAAGTGCTTCTCATTGTAATATATTACACCATTTTTATGTTATTGTCAACGGCTCGCGGCTCTCCGCTAAGGTAGCAAAGGTTTCAGAACCGCATAGATGCGTCAAGTGCCTCACATCGAGCAATGAACGGGGAACTCAGACGGGAAGCAGGCGGACAAAGGCAAGGATACAAATGTGTATACGTGATACCAGTGACATGATGCCTAAATATACCTAGCTAGTCCAAGAAGGCAACGAGCGTGAAATAGCTTGGAGTCGCATTCTCAAAGACGTTCACGACATCTAGATCACGAACAAAAGAGGCTCTAAAGCGAGCCAGCGGGATATTAAGTTAAGGAGCCTTCGTTGTTCCTTCTTGTTGCGCCCATCGTCATCTCTCTCTGCGTAATCCGTCGCTTTTTGCAGCCAGGCCAGCGATTCCCGACTCGGATTGGGACGTCAATGTCGGTTTAGTTTAACCCTTCGCCGCCGATGATTGAAATCGCGAGATGTGGTATATAGGCGTCAGATAGAGCTGGGAATGGTAGTGAAAAGCTGAAAGGAAGGTCAGTAGAGTTCAAGTACTGAGACAATAACAGCGTACGGTCTCGGTCTCATTAAGAGTCATCGCCAGCCCGATTCGTGTGTTTCCTGAGACCTGTGCGTGATGAAGAGTCGAAGGCAAGCATTGCGAAGTGGCTTTGACGGGAGCTACGCGAGTCTTGCAGATCGTAGCTATCCCTGCCCCACGATGGAGGAGGTGTTTATAGACATCAGGGTTGCACTGATGTTTATTGCGAACGCCATCCAGGCCAAGAGTGGGGCTCCAGTTTTCCATTGATTGAGCCGAAACATTATTCCGTAATACTGACGACACTCGAGCCCTCGTCCCCCGACTCCAGCAAACCGACGAGCCGGGTGTCAATAATGGCGAGACAGCGGCTGAATGTAAGCTCACCTACATCCCTTCATCAGCGTGCATTCGCCTCAGATCGATGTTGTAAGAGTAGAAGTAGCCTTCCGAGGAGAAGATCATTACCTTAGGCATGGCGCTCAACACGGGAGAAACTGTCAGCGAAAGAACACGAAACGGAGGCGGAATAACGCACCCGCTCAATCCACTGATAGACATCACTCCGGGTGGGCCACTAGGGACCCGTAGCCACGCAAAATCTCGCGACGGCTCCCACGTCTCAGTCAAGGTATTTGGCAGGTAAACGCCCACGGAGTGAGTAAGCAGACTTCCGCTCTAGGGACGACATCGGGGGTACAATATGAGGAAGGATGCATTAAACTGAAGAACGTGGTTGTGTACTCACGGGACGCCGTTGCCACGGCCCTTCTTTCTCTCGTCGAGGTAGGCCTCGTCGCCCCCGTCCATTGGCCGGTCCCGACGTTCGATGGACCCCGTTGCGATGACGGATGTTGCCGTCGAAGCGGCCGTTGTCCTCTCTCCCAATTTGAACAGATGAACCATCTCATGTGCTGAGACGAAAACCATGAGCAAGCCCACTGGATTGAATACAATGCTGTATATCCTCGCCTCCCTCGACCCTCACCTGAACTGATACGACTTCTCCGCTTTCGGTACACTTTATACACGGATCACCGTGCCCTTGACCGAGGCCGTAGTAAGCAGCGAGCCGTTCTGGGAGATTTGAACGATCGAGAGGAGACTTGTGGGCCAATGGTATAATATTTGCTGTGGTGATGGGCGTTGTTGAGAATATGGCCACGTCGCCGTTGGACTGAGGGGCCGGTGAAGATGCTGCGGCTGCGTCGCAGATAGGGTAGATAGCGGAGAATTTAGTGACAGTAATTGCGATGGAAAAGGGAGATACGACGCCTCCACATTCGGGGAAAGAGCACGGATTGATTGCTAGGATATGTCAATATTGGTCATCGACAACGGAGTAGCTAACGCACCTTCCGGATTCGCGGTCGTCTCAATTACGTGCAGCAACCGCATGGTACTTATGTCGTATATGTATATTTCCGCCTCGAGCACGATAACGAGGGCCCTTTGGTTCATTCTAACGGCGAGAATTGACAGAGGGAAAAGTAGCTCGCCGATCATGGTATAGTTTGTCACTGGAAGAGCCATTTGTCTGAGTATGTCGTCCAGGCTGTGCGTAGGAGCGCACCTTGGTATTCACTATCTGCAGCTTCCTAGGGCGGGATCCCGGCACGTCTGCGACTCCAACCAGGGGGAGAAGGGAAGTGCAAAACAGCATCTCAACTATACCGCGCGCGCCGTTGTCTATGAAGTCCAGTAGATAAGAACTCGGGATGACACATCCACTACAGGAACTTAACTCATAGTGTAAACCCTCCCATTGGCTCGCAATTCGTGGTGCTATATCCCTTCCGCGTTACCAACGACAAGCATCTGCAAAATACTGTTAGCTGCCGTTTTATCCGTTAAAGCTCGAACAACGAACTAATAGCCTTGATTGAAGTTGGCATAGAGTAGATTAGAGTTCTCCATCCTCTGGGGTTGGGAAGCTCGAAGACGGTATCGCACGAGACGATGATCGGAGACGAGAATGGGCACGGAAGGGCAAAGTCATAAGCTGGTTGTCAGTTGTGATCGTGCGAGTGAATTTGGGGCTGCGACGGATCGTAAAGGGAGTTAGTTAAGCGAAGAGCGACGCGTAAAGTCTCTTGTCGTAGAATGTAGTTGGCTGTTGTGGAGGCAAAGAAAAGAAAAAACAGAGACCGGTCGGCGATCTTTCCTCACTATATACCACATTTAGGAAGAGGAGGCAGTGGTCGTGGTGGTCGTCGGTCAGGATTGCTTTGGCGAACAGGCGGACCTTCGGGCCTGAGAAGCCGACGGATGCTGGATGCCAGTTTGCATTGGGTAGGGCGCGCTCTGTAGGTGTGGTAAGTAGACGGGTAAAGAGGGAGAGAGAGATAAGTGAGAACGCACCCATGTCGGTTAATATACGTGTCCCAGTCACTCGTCCCCTTCTGTGTGCTCTTGGTTCGCGAAAGGCGCCAGGCGACGGATCTGTGGGAGTTGTGCGCGGCGGTAGAGAGAGGTAACATGAGGGTGGATGTCGTACGTCGTAGATGACATTGACGGGCCTTGGCGTGAGTTTCGGCGCGTCCGTGTTGGCCTCATGAGGCTTGTTGCCGGATTGTTTGATGTCACAGCTCGGGAGTTCGTCCGCTCCAGGGTAGGGGTAACAGACTGAATACCCGCCAAGTCCAAACGCCTATGGCGTTCCCGTTCCCGCTCCCTCTCTATATCCTGCTCGAACTCCTGATCGCGATCTCTGTCCCTGTCCCTATCCCTGTCCAAAGGAAGGAGCCCCGCGGCCGCTAATGCATGAGTGGCAGCGCGTGGTGCTATCCAATCAAGCGTCCTCTCGGACCCACTACTCCCACCTTCACGGCGATTCGAAAGCGAACTCGAGGATCGCAGCCCGTTCAGCGTAGTATCGTCGTCCCTTGGAATTGACAGCATCCCGAATTCACTCGGCGAATCATGATTAGCAGCGCTGCCGACGCTGAGCCCGGGACTGCCATTCTCAACGCTCATGCTCCGCTTCCTCATGCGCGTCTTCATCTGAATGTGCGTGAGGCCGCGACGGCCTGTTGAAGTCCTCGAGGACCTCGTCATCTCCAAATGTGACTCATCGAGGCTAGACTTAGGACGCGCGGAAGGGGTATCGTCCATGATCCTCGAAGTAGGCGCAGGCGATGCGTTGATAGTGGCATCGCCTACGACCGACGAAGCTGATGAGGGGCGGTTCGACAAGCTCCTCGTAGAGCGCGGAACCTGAAGCGCAGGAGACGGAGTAGTGAATGTACGACGGGATGGCAGACGAGCCTCGTAACCTTCAGGCATAGCATCTGTCTCTTTGGTAGGCGATGGTGACGAAGGGCTGCTTGGCTGGCGAGACGGTGTGATAAGTCTGGGCAACAGCGCCGAAGATTTGGTTCGCGCTTGGTAGTCGCGTTGTATAAGCTGCGATTTGGTGCTCTCTTTCACTAGCTCTTTGATGTCGTCACCTGGGATATGGTGGTGGTTGCAAGAGGGGAAGGACGTGGGCTACTGGATACAGGTAGCGGTACAAACGGAGAATGAGGGGGCGATGCAGAAATAGGGGGCGATGCAAGGAACGATGATGACAGCAGAGAAGACAAGGGAAGGACGACTGGTGAGCGTGAAGGAATGGAGGTAGGAGAGCGAAGACGAGGAAGGGATGTCGGCAGATTCTCAGCCCCTTGACCTTGGATACCATCAGTCTGGGTTCTGAGGAGTAGCAAGAGTCAAACCTACCTGAGACAAGGGGCGTGGATAAAGAGTTTCGCTGTGAAGAGGTTCGTGACGAAAGTTGTACGGAACTGCGGCGAGAAGAGAGAAATTGTCGCTTCGGCGAAGAAGACCCCGACAGTCGATTGGGAGAGAGAAGCGCTGTTCGTTCAGGATCGATGGGACCAAATTCCAGTGAGACATGCGGGGAGGGCTTGCGCAGTGGCTGCGTCTGTGTGAGGTCTTCATCGTCGTCGACAACGACGGCATCTCCAGAATCAAGTCATTCCCTAGAGGCGGCATAATCCTTGACGAGCAGCGCGTCGAGCACTTGCCCTTGGACGTTCGACGCGGACAGTTCCAGTTCGTTGTCCGTTGGCGAGGGCTGCGTTGAAGCCGAGTATTGTGAGCTGGAAGATCCAGAGGCGAGGTACGTAGAAACCGCCGTACTAAAGACTCGGATTGGGTCTGAGTGGGAGGCGAGTTTCGGGAAGGCGGCGGCCGTGAAGGTGAAGAAGTCTGGGATGTGTTGAGGTCTGGGAGGTACCGCGACAGTCCTGAAGTGTCTGCTTTGATGATAGTAGACAAGTCGCCTGGCAGAATGTCAATGATACGGCCGTGTCCGACACAGAGAAACCACATACGGCTGTCCTGCTCTATGATCTCCTTCTCCAGCCGTGGGTACGACACCGACCGCCGCAAAGGCGTGCTTGAGCCGGACTCTTCGGCAACATCTGCAGACGTGTCTATCGTCGAGGAAGGCTCCGGACCAATGGCGATCACATTGTCGAACGTTTCTTCCACGAGATTGCCTTTCGTTGGCGGGCGCAAGAACGAACCAGAGGATCGACTTCCATCCTCGCCCTTGCCGCTCTCCTTTGTCATCGACCGTCTCACAGTCCCGAATGTCGTAAACGATCTCCCGGTGTTCCCTTGCGTCTGCGATACCGAAAGGCTGTAGCCATGACCAGCAGCCTTCGACGGCGACTTTGAATTTGTATTTGGGATTGTTATTACGCTCGCAGAATGTGAATTTGCAAAAGAAAACGAAGTCGGCGCTGCAGCCTTTGCTGGGTCGACGATGAAGATTTTCCGGGGACAAAAGCATTCAGTTCCACGACTCCCTGCGCCGTTTCATGTTGAGCAGGATTTTCGAGGGCGTGCGCGCCGAGTTGGGATATCGCAGAATGTATTGGCGCCGGCTTGGGCATCAGGATGTGTTGGATGGCCGTAGGGCGCGTTCGCGGCGTGCTTCTGAGTTGGCTGCATGTTGCGGCCCATTGCCAGGCGTAGAGGCTGTTATCATACATCAACCATTGTAATAGAGGTACAGGCATGATACATCGAACCTTGTAGCTGCAATAGCGTCTTGTGTGATATATCACCAGGACCCCCAATAATGTCTATAAATGTTAGATCAAAGTCCACCCCTCAGCTTGCCTTATATAGTAATAATGTTAGATCAAGCGCCCAAATAATCCACCCATATTTCGGCGAAAATTTCGATGTCAGATATTTTTTCCACCCCTTTTTGAGTTCCACACGCGAGGTCGGATCCTAAATCCACCCCTGAGAACCCTCCCGGATAGCAAAATGTTACTTGTGGTACGTTGCGGCCACAGCAAGTGCCAGAAAGTGTTGTCAAGTGGTATAAACTGGTCAGTACTGGATCCCATTCCCGCTCACAATAGCTGTTAGTGATTTGGTAGCGCCAAGACAAAATGGCCACATTGTTCAAGCCGTTGAGACTCCGCGGCGCACCCTGTGCACCCCCTGAACTCCCCTGAAACACTTCAACTGTTCGAGTTCAGTAACTCGTCCATGCAGAACAGCATATACTACCATATGCATGCAAGTATAGCGATAAAGTGATAGATAAGTACGCCATTGTATAAGTAGGATGCTCGACTGTGTAGATTAACCAGCACAATGTCAGCCCCCATTGATCTCACCTTATCACCCGAAGTCGTCGATCTAAGCCAATGGATTGGCGTTGGCAAGCTCTATAAGAACATCCCGGACACTATATCTCAAGAGCTCAAGGCTAGGACATCACTGTCTGACGTATCTCGAGCTATGCTTCCCTCCCACAATTCCACTATTGCTGAACTTCTTGCTACCCAGTTACCACCTCTAACAACGACTCTCTTCTTTCCTAACCCACAGGATTCATTCTCGGACGTCCCCCCAAACACACCACTATCATATTTGCTCTCTACCGATCGTGCACTCCCCCCTCGAGAGTTTCTGACGCATCTACGAGCGGCTGCGGGTCAGGCAATGCTCGACGGATGTATCTCAATTAAATATTGGGGTGCACCCAACGTTTACCTTCCATTCGAAGTCTGCGGATTTTGGTACGAGCTAATCACCACGGTAGAAGCTAAATCAGGCTGGAACTCGGCGCTGAGATGGGCAAACAAAGCCCTCCTTCCAAACGGAGCCTCTTGCCATGCTCGCATCACCGCAATAACTCGATCCATCTCATGGAGCGGTTTAATCTCTAAACTTGGACGTTCTGCTCATGTTTCGCATATGGCGGAGCTTCTCTCGACCTCTTGGCTCTCCTCGTCTCATATCGATGCCATGCTACTGCGTCTTCGTGCTAGATACCGCGACGAAGTAGGCTTCAAGTCTGAGAAACAAATCACATTGATTCCGACTTTGATATTCACTAGTCGCCTTCATTCGCTTGGATTAGAGCCTGGCCCCGTCGACCAGCTTCTGTGCAGCTCGGCACTCTCAGATATTGGGAATTTCGTCGCGACTTCTCAGCAGAACCTGCTCATCGCTACAGTCGCGTACTGGCCCGAACACCATTGGGGATTCCTGATGATTACTATCTCAGGTGGTCGTGTACAAGCGAGATGGGGTGATGGTATGAAGAAAAAGGTTCCCCGGGCGCTGGAGAAAGGGATTAGATTGTGGAGCAAACATTACATGCCGCAGCGTTTTGTCAGTGTCGACAGTCACTTCCCCTGCGCATCGCAGCATGATTCCTACTCTTGTGGGATTGTCGCCGTGAATGCGCTCAAGCACGAAATCTTTGGCGACCCTTATTGGACAAAGAAGACGAGAGAGCAGTGTCGTGTCGACGAATTCTTGTCGTGCATGGAGTTCTGCATGGACATAAATGTAAGTGAACGGCTACCCAAGAGTTCATGCACTGACAATTATGTTTAGACTGTCGATGCGCCGTTAATTCCACCGTTGTCACTCCTACCAGTAACTGGACAATCAGCGACCACCCCTGTTTCTCCCCCGCACCCTGTATCGACCCCTATTAGCCCCCCTCGCCCTCCCACTAAACGTCGCAATAGCAATTCAATTATGCTATCCGCCCCTGTTAGCCCTTCTCGTATCACAGTTAAACGTCCTCGTCGAGGCAGCCAATTGAACCTGAATGTGATCGTGGTACCAAACCTCGCTAGGCGCGATCCCTTGCCTGAAGACGATACCTCTATCCTTCCGATGGACGATCAGCCTGACGCAGCACCACTGAAGGAAATAAAGATCCGTAAATCGAAGTCTATGGTGTCGAAGGAGCAGAACAATAAGCTGGCAGCGAGTGGCTTGCTTGTCAAAAGCACTCAACGCTGGAACAACTACGTTGCAAAGCTTCGACAGCTGGATGCACACGTTGAGGTCTACGACGAGAGCCCGGAACATATTCGCCTGGCATGCTGCTCGTCGTGCGCAAAGATCGTCAAGCAATCGGAGCCATATAATACGTATCGATTCAAACAACATCTTTCCAGGTGTAAGGCGAAGGGCAGCCGCCTTCACATCCAATCCATCAATGGCTTCTTCAAGTTCAACCTTGACCGCTCAGCATCCGTGCCAAAAGTGGACAACTTCGTTGAGCGACCTTGTCCTGGGCTTACCGAGGCAAACGACAGTCGTATTCCCATCTACACCTCTCGTACTGAGGTTCGGTACGCTGGAGGGACAAGTCGACCGTTATTAGCATCCCAACACTTTGGCAAGACGGTCCCATCCCTATCTAAACAAGAGAAAGACGAGCTAGACCTCCACTATCGTTCCAGCTGCGAGTGGGAACTGGATCACGACGAAGCACGAGTATTCTCTTGCAAATGCCTCAAGCTGGTACAATGCAAGAGCGACACTAATGAACTACAAGCCTGTGCAGAATGCCTGTGCATTCTCAAACTGCATAAGTTCCTGGTGGCGATCGCAAAGCCAGTGACACCCGACGATACGAGGAAATATATACCATTTCGCTACCAAAGCATCGTAACAGGGAAGATGTACGCTAAGAATAAGGGACTGGGCAGGTTTGTTAAAGATGTACGTGCCCCTGCCCCCTATCCCCTATTGGACTTTGTTGAATGCACTTATTACAGACTATACGCAAAAAAGGCGACGTTCTCCTCAACTTCACCGTGGCACTGGCCTCAGGAGTGTTTGATGGTAACCCTTCATTCATTGAACTCCTCAAAGTGATGTTTGCGCGCCATGAACGTCAGGCCAGAGGCCATGGATTACAAAATATGCGGTACGCGGCAGACTTCAATCAATTCTGCCACGAACTCCAATGCATCCGCCCAGAGGCGTATCGACTCTTCTCATCGACATTTGGTGGTCGAACGGAGCAGAGCATGCTCAAAATTCGCTCATCCCATCCGAAACTGACACTTGGCATTAGCACAGCTACGCTCGACCGTGTGACGAAGTATCTCGAGGATTACAAGTACCCATCTACTGCCCCACTTGCTTGCGGGGTCGACGACACTAAGCTCCACCCCTCCCTACGCCCATACTACAACAGTTCAAGCAAGACTTGGTTCCTCCTTGGTGCAACAGGAGAGCCAATAGTAGTCGCTGATATCGAGCAGCTGGACGAACTCATTAAACATGCGTCAGGCTCTCTGGCCAAAAAGGTCCGCTTATGGTCTCTCTGGATCCCTCTCCCCGACATTCCACCTCTTATTATGGCAATAATGGCAATATCGGAGAGCAACACGGCCAATTATCTCGCAGAGATAGAAAAGCGGCTTCTCAAGCTGCTTCTCATCGACACCTCTCCTCCTGTCAACATTATCTCTCTTGGATCAGATGGTACGATCGTCGAGCGCAAGGCTCGTAGAATTCTAGTTCAATCGGGCTTTGCTGCAGTTGAGTATGCTCACATCTCGCACCCAAATCCAGCAGAGCAGAGGCCCTTGAAGATCGAACTCCTTCGCATCGGGACACGTCGCCTTGCCATCATCCAAGACTCAAAGCACTTCAGAAAGACCTGTCGCAATAATCTATTTACTGGCGCCAAGCAGATGGTACTAGGAAGGGAGCTAATCTACTACGAGCAGGTACGATCTATGGCATATAATCAAGATCGCTCTCCACTTTATATCCGCGACGTCGACAAGCTAGACCGCCAGGACGATCGTGCGGCAGCTAGACTCTTCTCAGCGGCAAGTATCCAGCACGCCATTGAATGCGGCCATTCTGGTCTGGCAATCTTTCTATTTATTTTCGGAGAAGCCTGTGATGCATACCAAAGCCGAACAATATCCCACACGCAGCGCATCCACATGGTTCTCCTCGCCTTCTTCTTCAAGTTGATTTGGAAACAGTTTCTTACAGAGAACAGATACCCCATTGCTCGCCACTTTCTCTCGCAAGATGCCGACAATATCCTCGATATTCTGGTAAACGGACTCCTCGCTTTAATCATCATCCACCGCGATCACCTCGATCCATTCCCATTACTGCCTTGGACGCATGGTACTGAGGTAAATGAACATATATTCGGCCTTCTTCGCAGCACATTACCAGAGTTCACAATCGTCGATGCCCTCCAAATGATTCCTAAACTCGACGTACGCCTACTAGCGGCCTGCAGGCGCAAGATCGACGCAGCAAGTCTTCAACGAGGCGGCGCTGGGTATGCTCACACCCATTTCGATAGCAGTGGAGCTGCTCTAGACACCCTTTCGTACTTTCCACCACAAGAAGTCATCGAACAAGTGGCTCATCTGGCATGGACGGAAGCCAACGCGATCTGGGAAGTATTAGGCGATTTCACAAGCTCGTCAATGACACCGTCTGCCTCACATGTCCCTGTTGCCACCGCCAATCTCGATCTCGGTGTAGACGTAGACGATCTGGACGAACTGGATCCACAGGAGGAGTCAGCGATGGATGTACCATCTGATCGCGAACTCCTAGATGAAGCGTTACACATCGCCTCCTTCGTGACCTTGCCACCGTCAGAACGTCCAGACCTACCTGGGGGTGCCATTGAGATGATCAACGAGTGCGGACTAGCTGCAGCGGCACTCAACATGCGAGATATTGGATATCTGTGAGTTTTACGATGATTGCTTCGACCTTTCACTGAATATTCTATTGCGTTAGTGATCGCCTTCCAGATGACGATCCAGAGGCACTGGAAGTAATCCAAGCTGCGCTGAAGCCCATCCTAGAAGCGATCTCAGCTCTAGGTCCCGTAGGTGAGGCCGCCGTCAAGAAACTTATAGATGAAGCGGCAGCTCCTCCATCTGCACACACGATCATCGAAGAAGAAGACTCAAGTTCAATTCTTTCCCGCATATCGCAGTACGACATCAGCATACTTGTGGACGAACGACGAGTGCATCAAAGCAAGGAGACAAGCGATGCATGCCGGCCGCTGAAGCAATCCCCTACCCCTGCCAAAGGAGCTCCTAAACCACACATTCCCGCCCAAATTCCATTCATCGTCAAACAGTCCCCTCGCCAATTGCTCACAAGGAAGATACACGAAGTCCTGAGGCTCTCTGGTGTCAATATCAAAGGAGAAACATCCGGACTGGCACGACAAGTACGATGGACGAAACAAGTGAATGTGATGTCATTGGCGGACAAGGAGACCTCTGGGAACTCAGCAAACGCAAAGAGGGCAGCGACCTCCCGTGCTAATGCTGTAAGCCGTCACAAACTCGTGTATCAAATGAGAAACTAACGGTTGAATAAATACTAGGCAATAAAATCCCGCCAGGCGATCTTCGCAGCACTCCCACATGCGGAGTCACTAGCAACCGCGAATATCAACTCGCTGTTTGAGCTCGTAAACGGTGTCTACTCAATTGTACTCTACGAGAAGAAGCTGATGATTGGGCGGGGTGAGTGTATTAGTATCAATATCACCTTGCTTCGTCTTTAACCTGTTCTTTAGTTATTACATTCTATGAACAGGGGGGGGAAAAGGCTAGTAAACACTCTTGGGTGTCGAACACCGCATCAGTCGGCACGATTTCGTGGATTTCGATGCAGCTTTGGACGCCCCTTTCCTCCCCAAACTCATTCAAATCTTTGACTCAAGCTGGCCTTCCAAAGTACAGACTTGTGCACTCGAAGGCGTTTCTATATGCACTCATGGCGAAGACAATCACTTTACGGGAGGATAGCTCGATAAAACTCGACGTTACAATCTTCAACTCGGTATTTCGGCCCCTGAATATGCGGGAGGGGCTCGTCTCACAGGCTGTAAAGACTCTGATGGGGAGAAAGCATACAGAGGAGCTAGATAATAGCGAGAACTAGTATATATAATGCGAACGAACACTCTAGCATTTTTCTTTCATTTTTATCGATTTTATTAAGCCCTACAATGTTAGTTCTAGTTGTCCACCCCTCCGCTTCCTAATTGGGAGGTTTGTTCTTATCCACCCCTCCGTACTTCCTAATAAGGCAATTCTTAGTCCACCCCTTTTGGGTAAAAACCGGGCATTTTCGGATCTAACATTTATAGACATTATTGGGGGTCCTATATCACCCCGTCTTCGTGATACATCACTGCCTTAGACACGTGAACCTCACGTGTGAAGCACTCCTTACTCCCGGCACTGTGTCCACCAGCGTCGATGACAGTCAGGCGTCGGGGGTTGTGCCTCAACGCGCCCTTGCCCATATTCAGCTTCGGCATATGCTCTAGATATGGTCGGGTTGCCTTCCACTCCTGGACTTCGAATCTTAGATCAAACCTCCGTACCTTCACTCATACCACTGTACCTGCATACTGAATGTAAGCGCTTCTCCATCAAGATCTGTTCTCGATGGATGGCAGCTTCCTTCCGCCAATATTCTGCCACTTTCCATCAGCGTCAGTTTGCCTATTCTTATATTTTCCATTAATGTTTTCGTTATGTTATCAGTATGTTTTTGATATGTTTTATATATTATTTTTAAGCGGCTAATGCGTTTTCAGGCACCTCATCATACTACACTCCACTCAGTTTCTAAGTGACTAATGCCCTTTCAGGCGCCTCATCATGCTACACCGCACTGGGTTTGAGGTCTTGTAGTGCGATGGACTTGCACCAGACTTGGCTTATTTTTTGGTTCATACCCTTTAGGCACTACTACTCCTGCTCGTTTGATATATCACTTACATGCTAGGTAATGTACCGGTGATACATCGCCTGATGCTTGCTCATATATCATGCCAGTCGTTCACAGCATATGATATATCATAGCAGTCACTCACAACGTGTGATATATTAAAGCTTGGTAGATAATGTAGATACGGTGAACAAGATCAGCGGTAAATAGCATGGCGCATCAGTAGCTATAACAAGGGCAAGATACTTCAACTAGAGGCCCTGTTCTCCTTGCCACGCCCCCCCTTGTTCTTGCCCTTGGGGTGGGTCAGTGGCTCGATCTCCTTGCGCGACTGCGCCACCCGATTCCGTTTCGTGGTCACGATGAGCTTGGGATCAGTGCCGTCAGACCTGGCTTTCTTACGAGGCTTGCTGGTGGCCGTAGTATCCTCTCCAGGCCTTGCCCTCTTGCCGGCCAATGATTCCGTGGCAGGGTTGTCAGTGGCATTGTCGGTGGCGCTTTCGGTCACGTTGAGACTGGAATTGTCCGTGGGATTGTCAGTACCAGAATCGTCGTTGGGACCGTCAGTATTGGTATCAATGGGACTGGAATCATCAGTGAGTTCGTCGGTGGGACCATCGGTATTGGTAGCGGTGGGACTGGAATCGCCGGCAGGAACAATAGGGACAGTGGCTTTGGCAGGGACATCAGCAGCAATGGTATCGATAGCAATCGCACACGGAACTGGGAGAGCCGCGGCAAGAGACGTGGTGAGGGCAGCTTCATTGGCGCTTTGCAAAGGGCTGGGATTGGTGGGCATGTAATCGTCGGTGCCACTGATTGATTGTGGAACAGGGGGCCCTGCTGAGACGCTAGGCAGCGGAGACGCACCCACTGGAGCCAGGGTACCATCTGCAAAGGTGTACATCCCTTCCAGTAGGGATGTGAACGTTCCTGGGCCATACAATGGAGGTGCGTAAGTCGCTGGCCCAGGATTAGTAGTTGAGACAAAAGGGAAGGTCAGGCTGTGGTTGAAGTCCTCCCATGAGAACTCAAGGTCCGGAGGGAGTTCTAGGAGTTGCTGCTGGACGTCCAAAGACGGCTGATGCTGCGGGTGAATTGGGAGGTTGATGCCATGCTGTTGTTGAGTCTGTACGGGTGTAACGATAGCAGCGGGTATAGGAATTGGTGCCGGTTGATGAATTGCGACTGGCTCATGTGGTGGCGAAGTGGGGGCTTGGCGGAGTATGGCCGCAGATGCTGGCCCAGGTGCAAGCTCCTGAGGAAGGGGAGACGGCATTGAGACAGGCGTGGAAGCTTCTCCGGAAGGTGTGGCCTTATCTTTGGATAAGAGAAGGGGGGACGACATCACTGACCCAGGGAGAGCCCGAGATGCACATTGTTCTGGGGCTGTATATCCTCAATTAGTGAGCGAAATTGGTCCTATGGTTGAGCTTACTGTAGCACGTGTGGAGGAAACTCGTGAATGCTGGCACGAAGCTCTCCTTGTATTCGGGATCATAGTCGAAGAAGTTCTGGCGGAAGATGTTATCGCCATAATGGTAGCTGATGTTCGTTTTAGTCAGTGGCTGGTTAAAAATCGTAGCGACACACCCCATTGTATTAATCTTTCCCCCGTTCATAGGATCCGGCCCTCCAGCAATGAGGACAAAGCTCCAGCCGCTTTCTACCCCTGCTTTCTGTGAGAAGGCTGTGAAGTGGGCTGCAATGTTTTTAATGCCGCTTGATAGGCTTCAATCAGAGTATAGTGAGCATCGAAGCGGCACCAACTTACATTGCATAGTTATCTGAAGACGTTACAGTTACAGCTTTCTTCTTCTCTTCTTCCTTTTTCGCTGCCCTCGCTAGCTGAGCCTCCTGCTGAAGTTGGCGGTGCTTCATCATTAGAGCTTGTTTGATGTTGACATCCTCCCCGGCCCAAGCTATGTCCCTTTGCTCGCGGCGGATCTTCAACAGCGCCCCAGGTGAGAGTGTTTTCCCCTCGATAATGGGGTTGACGAGTGGAGCAATCTTGGTATCGTAGTATTCGTCTGAGTAGAGCTCAAGGAGCTGCGGGCTGCGCTTGGCCTTCGGTGGGTTTAGTTCCTTCACAACATGTGACCGGACTTTCGGTAGGCCGCGGTTCCGGAACCAGTTTTTGAGGTACTGAGGTCACTTGTCAGGGTCGATCATACCCTCTTGAACCACAACTCTCACCTGCTGCTTATAGTCTATTCGCTTCTTCAACTCCTCCTCACGCGCCCCAGGCTCAGTAATCAACATATCTTCTTCCTCGGGCCACTGCGAAAACCACAAGGAAAAAACACGCGGCCAGAACTTTGGGAACGTCCCCTGCTTTTGGACTTCACGGAAGTCGTTGACATGAGCCGTAAGGAACGTCTTCTGGTCGGCGGTAACCTTTTCTTTCGGTGCCATTGAAATTTGATACGGTGGTACAGGTGAGTAGTAAAGGATATTTGGGTTAGTGTACCGTGTTGTATCACACCTTACTTTTTTTTAAGCTTCGACAGCCCTCCCCCCATTGAAGAGGGCTCGGATCTTACCGGTCATTAACTATACAACAACTCGGCCGTTTTTCATATATATAACGATCCCCTGGCTTCCAATAACCCCAAATTCACAACCAAGCGAACTTCACAACCATCTTCGACTTCAGATCTTATGCATTCCAACGACAGCCTTGGCGATACTGTATCAGCATCGCAGAGCTTAGCAGCCTCCTCTCTCAGATGCGCTCCAGTGGCGCCTCGGGTGCTGCTGCAGCTGCAGCTGCTGTCCCCGCTGCTGTCCCCGCTGCTGTCCCCACTGCTGCACCTGCTGCTGCACCTGCTGCTGTTCCCGCTGCCGCCAATGGTGGTGCAGCTAATTTTGAAGAGAACAAGATCCCCGCAACGGGGGGAGGTACGTTCTTCATGTGGACACTGCAGACCGACGCTCACAAGACCTATTTAGCTGTTTTCCGGTGCCCTGTCTGCACCACAGTCAGTCACTTAGTTCCCGCAGCTGCCGCTCCACCCCCTGCCCTCGTGAGGACCGGGCACTTCAGTGCTGCCACTGGCGTAGCCGGTAATCGTTGGTATGCTGTTGTTGTTGGACGCTGTGTCGGAGTGTACCAGAACTGGTAGGCCACTATTAATACCATATTGATCAGCGAGACTAACCGTACGATTAGGGAGCAGGTAGTTCAGCCTCTCGTCCACACTGTCCCCGGTTGGCACTGCCAGGGCTTCACAACATTTGAGGAAGCCGAACAGCACTTGCTCAGCCACTGGCACATGGCCCGCATTCACGCCTAGTCGTATCCCATATCCCACCGTGCTTTAACTGTTGTAGTACTACGACTGTCTCTTCCTCTCGTACAATTGTAGTTGCCGTAGTCATTTCAATATATAGTGTGTTTCGAACGAGTATGCAGCGTGATATATCAGCTATGCTAGCGACCAGAGGACTATTGATGGAGTGATTGATACCTGAGCTGACCACCGTAGTGAGCCTCCAAAGTCTTGGCCTTACTAAGAGAGGCATAGCACTCCATCTCCTCAAGGCACTGCAGGACTAGCCTTATAGGTGCTGCCGCCCTTTCGACATCCCGTAATTCTATCCCAACCCCAGCGAGTTGCAATACAGCGGCTTCACACTGCGTGATGGTCTTGTAGAGTGCCTGAACACTAATTAGTGGGACTGAAAATGTTTCAGGCCAGTCTTCGACGATATATTCTTGATAGAGGGATTCTAAGTAGTCGTAGATGGTGGCGGTGTCGATTAGGAAGTTAAACTGTCGCTCTGTATAGGCAACAAGGGATAGCCACCCAGGGACATCAACGGGCTCAGTACTAGAGGAATGATGAGTACATAGCACCTTGAATAAATGATTGAACGGACCTCGAAGGAGTAGGGTCATCAGGCGCGGCACCACCAATTGGTTCAGATCTATAGACAAGCTGTAAACATGTAGAAGGGATATGGGTGGGCTGCTTACTTGGTTTTATCAGCCCGGTAGCGAGGAGGGCGTTGGGAACTATTCTTTGCATGTTTCTGCCTAGTAAATATGAGAATACTTGTCTTTGACGCAGACAGATATAATACACACCTGTTGTACCAACATTTACTCTTCTCTCGGTTGGCAAGGGCCTTTTCTTCGGGTGTTTTATACAAACGAGGGTGGCCGCGACCCATGATGGGAGTAAGGGACTGGCGTTTAAGCATACTACATAAGATTATGAACGCTCTGTCCTTACCTTTATTCAGTTTCTTACTTTTATTCAGTCAGGGGTTGTTGGGGCCTATTACATGTGAAACAATGTTAGATTATTTAATATAATGTCTCTTCAGTGACACTTACCTATAAAACCTCTTCATAAACAAGGCAGATCTGCCATTAAACCGTTATTCAGACGTCACCTCCTGTCTATCATGTGACCTGGTGGTTCAAACTCCAAGGCTCGCGGGACTCTGACGAGTCTAAACTCAGTGACAAAGTTTTTCCCCATATTCCGGTGAGCTAACATGTTCATCACCCTGCAGGGCTCGGCTGATCATTCTGTATTACTAGAATACCAGCAGCTCCATGCCCCGTGTTTGTGTGGAAAACAGTGCCAAGCGTTACAATTACCAAGAAACTGCTTTCCTCGACTTCCTCGTGCCCTATTATCTACAAGTGAAGGACAAGGCAGAGCGTGTACACTTTTTCAAGGCCGCGTACATCCTTTTCCATGACCGGTTCCCCATTGAGAAGCTGGGGTTGTCCTCCACTATCTATAAGACCACTAGGGACAAGGCTAAACAGGTAAGTGTCTGTAGTTGTTGTTAACACACGTGCTAATATCACTTCGTGGTACGTTATATAGACACTCGCAAAAAGGGTCATGGTGTCTGCCCTCTTCCTCGAACGAAGCCTCATTCACAGCCCCATGGAACATTGGACTGAGATTATGAGCCTCAGGGCGGATAGAGAACGCCGGGTATGTTGATTCACGTCTCACTTTAATTATAATGCTAAGTCAGTGCAGCGAAGAGAATGGAAGACCATTGGGGGAGTTCCTCGTCACCATCAGTACATGGTGGCCTACGCCCCGCTACCTTAGTTCAACCTGTAGTAATCATGTTAGCATGTGAATATATTTGTTACTGTGAGAAATGATAAGTTAACGTGTCATGGTCATCATCTTGTCAACGAAGTGTTCCTAAACTTCATGCTTCATCTTCTGATCGTCTCGTGTCTAAGGTAGTCCATCCTGGACTCAGACTCACTTCGACTCCTGTCTGATGGCTTCCCGTCGAGATGGTGTCTCTGCTTGCAGGGCTGTATTAAAGGGAAAGTTCCCTAGCTCAAGAGGTGCATATTCATCATGCGGCGTCCAAAGCGACCTATTATTGAAGTAGAATGCTACGCAGATTGGGATACAGCTACCCCCCTTCCGGCCCCTGTCTCCACCCATCACCACACCGACTTTACTGCTGGACCTAGAGGCTTCCGAACGAAGCGAACGACCTATCAAGCCACAGTCGTGACCCCAAGTGCGCCTTCAATCCCACCAGAAGACGACACCAGCCGTCCATTCCCACAACTATTGGATCCGTCTGACCCAATTCTTGCCAATGTCGTCGAGATACCAGACATACTGACCCTTGAGAGAGTGCGGCGGCAAACAGCAGGCATAAGTTTCATTATCTGTGCTTCTCTCTCCCAGTCTCATTGATTAGATTATTAGGATCTTCCCTTTCACACCTGGATGCCAGAGAGAGACTCCTTCGTGCAAGAGTTTCTACGGCTTGAAGCGCCTGAACCACGGGTCCCAAGAACATGTCCAGGTTGTCACACGGCGCCTGCGCTCTATCGCTGCCATCAATGCTTTGACGAGCGCATTTATTGTCGTGCTTGCGTTGTAACGGCTCACCAGGTGTCTCCCTTCCATGAAATGGAGGTAAGTGATGGGCTGTAACTCGCTTGAACATACTCATGAGCTTGCTTAGATATGGAATGGCCGCTACTTTGAACGCTGTTCCCTTTGTTCCCTTGGACTCCGTATCCAATTGGGACACCCCCTCGGCGAAAGATGTGCCCGGCCAGCACCCTGCTACAACGATAGTTTTATGGTCATAGCATCCCATGGCCTTGTAAACGTTAGCATCGACTTCTGTGGTTGTGGTTCGGTGGTGTCTGACGACATCCAACTTCTTCAGTCATGTCTATTCCCTGCCACTACAGTGAAACCTCGCACTGCAGCAACATTTGAGGTCTTGCGCCTATTTCAAATACTCATGTTTGGGTCCAAAGTGTCTGGTTATGAATTCTATCAAGCTCTTGCCAGGCTTACAAACAACGTCGGAGAACCAGTTCCGGTAGGTGACTCTCACCATCTTCTATGATGAAGTTAACTGACATGATAACAAAGGACCGATACAGCGCATTCATGAGAATTGTCCGTGAATGGCGCCACATCCGGCTTTTGAAGCGATCCGGCCGCGGACATGAGCCATCCGGTGTGTCTGGCACCATCGAAGGGGAATGTGCCGTTCTGTGCCCCGCATGTCCACACCCGGGCAAGAATCTCCCTGCCAACTGGGAAAAAGCAGGTGATACATCACGGTACGTCCTGATATATCATATCTCTATTCACACACTGATCACTGTATACTAGATGGGTTTACTCGCTATTCCTGGCAATTGACGCTAATTTCCGTCTCAAACGCCTCTCTGCTTCGAACGACACCCGCGACCCCAGTCTGAACCGTGGATCAGCCTATTTTGTGGAAGAAGTACAGTACAAAGACTTCCTCTCGAAGCACCGAACAAAGAAGCCACAGGAGGACAGCACATGCAACAATTATGACGCTGTGAAATCAGCAAGTATCAGAGGTGGCAAGGGGACGACAGCAAGTGGTGTTGGAACGATCGAGTGTAGTAGGCACGATATGAAGCGTCCCGTCTCCGTGGGAGACTTACAGCTGGGGGAACAGTACGTGCACCTCGTCTCCTACTCTTGTTATTTGAAATGCTCATTATATCTATGTAGATATGTCAACATGGACTATCTTTACTTTTCAAGCGTTAAGAACCACGCACCAACAAGTCTAGTAGTCTCCTATGACATTGCTTGTCAATGGTCATGCAAACTCATACTTCGGTCACAATCATACCCTATGAATCTTATTACTCCACGTGTCAATGACCTTCATGCCACATATCTTGTCCCAAAATTCCACCTCTATGCGCATCAAACTGACTGCCAAATTAACTACTCCTTTAATCTCACCCCTGGAGTCGGACGAACTGATGGCGAAGCACCTGAACGTGGCTGGGCCGCAATGAATCCCGTGGCAAGTAGCACAAAGGAAATGGGGCCCGGATCGCGGCGCGACACTTTGGACGACCACTTCAGAGACTACAACTGGCGAAAGATTGTCGCATTACGTGAGTTGATATATCATGCATGGTGGAGTGTGTCTCGTGATATATTGTTGATGCTCATGCACGATTCATGATGTATAATGGCAGCCTTCGTGATGTATCATGGACGCTAGCCTCAGAATACGTGTTACATTAATGTATACTGATCAGAGTCTCTAGATATATCACTTCTCAACAAGGTACAAGAAGCTGTTGAAATGCGCTCAGAACATGTCAGCAACTTTCTCACTCTAAGCAAATCCCTCCCCGATGCTGTCGTCCAGCAATTCACCACTATTATACATCAATGGGAAGCCGGAACCAGCCAGGACAATCCATATCAAGCAATGGCGGAAGGTAATTTACTTTATAATCAGCCATAGTAAATTGTATACTAATTAAAGTAGTCACTTCTGCCGCAAAGATTAGGCTTCAACTTGCCGAAGAGGATGCAACGACACTTTCGCAAGGCGATTCCCTTCTACAACATGACAGCATCAGTGGTAGTGTTCTGATAGCGCAAGCTCTGGACCTTCAGGATCAGATGGCACGCCTAAAGCTTGATGCCAACGCCCTGGGAACCCACTCGACTGATATTCAACGAACACGTATTCAAGAACGCCGGAACCGTATGAAGCGCCTAATCACCGCGTGGCAAACAGTACAGGAGGCATATGTTCCTGGTGTTGGAGCTTACAGGTGCAGGACTGAGACGATGAGGGACGGTGATCTTACCGAAACACATCCCGAAGACATCAGATTACTACTCCCATCAGACCTTTCACCTCACTTCCGTGTCGACTCTACTCTATCCGAATACGAATGGCGGTTACGAAATGGTGTCGCGCACGACTGCCTCGCTGAACTACGACGTCTCCTGCTTATTCTCAGCTCCATGTACAAGTCCAAAGATCGACTTGTCCATGGCCAAGTTCAGAATACTCGAAGTGTCACCCTCATTAAGAATGTGCAAGCTCGAATTGACTTTACCGCCAGGAAATACCGTATGAATCGCCAATCGCTTGTCACCCTAGCTACATTACTCAGTAAGCACGGGTGGGAGACGACATTACAGGTTCTAAATGACGAAGACATTCACAGCCTGCGACAAGGGGACGATGCCAGCGAATCGGAGGGCCGACGAACACTCTCCTGGATATGGATGACAGGACGAACCAGTGATGCTGAGATGTCGGAGACGATGAGCGAGGGTAGGTGGTCATTATTCCAGGGGGGGGGAAATACTAAAAATGATTCAGCAATCCGCATCGAATGGTGTAAGTCGCGCGCACGCGCTCACAGATGGCAGGAGGAATGCATTCTCCTACAAGAAGAGATGCGTCGAGTAACGGCTTTCCATGAATGGCAGGCAGGGATATGGGAAGCAAGAGCAATCACTGCTGCCACAGAAGGAGCACGGGCATACGCCTGGAGGCAGATGGATTCAAGAGTCAAGTTACGGAAGACATGTGTGGATGCCTGGAAGAGCTTACCGGCGTACCTTAGCATGGGGGAGGGAGTGGTAGCTATGGGCGGACAATTAACAGAGGCCCCCCTAAGTACTAGTTTACCCCCCTAAGTACTGGGGAACACACTTGTCAATGATCGACTCATACATAGAGTGCTTCTTATGAATTGTTTAGGTGTTCCATGGTTCTATGAATCTAGATACATTGAGACGGCGCGATTCTGTACCCGATAAAGGCGAGGCTAGGGCTTGTCCAAATGCAGTAACTGCTCGCTCATTGTCCCTGACAACGACGACAGAAGGGCAATGAGATGGGTGGACCGTGGGTCAATTAAGGCCCAAAGGAGGGCATCACATTGGTGCATGGCAAGGTGATACATCACGAAGACAAGGTGATACATTGGTGATATATCACTGTAGGCTATTGTAACTACAAGCCCTTATGTATCAAATGTGTACCATTATTAGTATATATAATACATTGTAGGTACAGCTACAGGTGCCATTGCAAGGCCGTCAGGTGTGCTCTGAGCCGTGTTCATGGTGTGCCAGGGTTTATGGAAAGCGGCTTAGAGTATCTGAGATCGAGCAAAGCGCGAGAGTAAGAAGGCAGGGGGAATGAATATGTGGGACACATACTAGAGGTTTGCGCAGTAAGAATTGGCCAAACGTGCGTCGATTTTCCGCTCTCGTTCGCCCTCGTTGTTCCGAGTGAGTCCAGCAAATCGTGCGGCGTTAATGCGGAGAGAGGGAGGATGAGGGAGAGGGAAAATGGGAGCGACAGACGACGCTCGCTACGTTGCGTGTTCAACAAACTTGCAGACGTTCGCGCCCCATTGCTGGCCATGGTCGGCCGTTGTCAACGTTCAGGGAACCCGCCGCTTTTGTCCACGTTTGCGACGGGATCCGCCTGGGGCTCGATTTGTCTGGAGTAGCTACTGGTGGTGAGTTCAGCCCAAGCTCTGTGGTTCGTTCACGATGCCGCAGCAAACGCCGCCGAACACGATGGTCGCCGAATGAGGAGCATGTCGGTATCGGGATCTGCGCCGCCGAGATCCCAGGCCGTCGAAGAGAGCGAGGGGTGCCAGGAACTCGGTGTGTGTGTGTGCGGGTGAGTCGATGGGTGGCGTCGCAAACGGGTTGCGTCTGACCCTGTCTGTCGCATTCGTTGTTCGTTTTCGTTCGTGAGTTTCTATATGTTTCGGTTCGTTTCTATCCGATTTTGCTCGCTTTGGTGTTGGTTTCGCTTTGATTTTGCTGGTGCTGGTTCGATTTGGGCTTTGGTTTTGGTTTTCCGTTTCGCTCGTCTGCGTTCTCCCGTTTCGCGTCGTTGTCCCCCCCGCGCTAGCCCGTTTCGTTTTCGTTTTCGTTTGCAACTGCGTCCACGTCTGCATTTGCAGTCGTCCCGCGCTCTCTCCACCGCTCCCAAAGCGGGCGTCTCTTCCTTCGTGCATTCCGTTCCGTTCGTCTCCCTCATCCCGTTCCCCTCTTCGTCCCCGTCCCTTACCGTCACCCACTAACTCCCCCATTCGTAGCCACAGCCGCAGACACCCTCAACGCAGACGCCTGCGCCCGCTGCAGGGTCCAACTCATTGCGCTAGCCGATCGAGGGGCATGGCGCACGGCGAACGGTGTCGTTCGCGTCGATGGTGCGTGATCTTTTCCCTCCTCCTGTGTTTCGCATTCGTTGATGTCCCCGTTCATGTCCCGTCCCCCCGTTTCTCTTGATCTCCCCGTCCGTTTACCTGACTCCCCAACTCTGCGCTCGTCTTCCCTCCCCTCTACGTCCCATCCCTCAGCTCGTCCCTCGTACTAACAAGCGTATCCCGTCGCAGTGATCTCGCCTGGTAACCAAAAGGCTGTCGGCGACGTGGCGGACGTCGTGTTTCGAGAGTTGGTAATTGCAGAACGCAGGTTCGCGCTCGAATCGTCTTTGTACTGCTGTATGGGCACCGTTGACCACCGGCGCGAAGACATGTGTTTGATACGTTTGGACGCCTATTCTGCGGGATGATGGTCCTCTCCTTCGGCAGAGGTCGGCGACGAAGTGATATCCATGGCAAGGTGCGCTCCACCGCACCGCCTACGATCCTACGAGCTCACCTAGCTAACATCTACTCTAGATTATGATCGGGATATCCAGCGTCATGTTCCTCATATCGACACTGCACTTGATCCTGGGGATGTATCGTCTACAGCAAGCCTTCGTCGCGCACGCAGGATACCCCGGTGGTGTCAGTGCGTACATCGCTAACGTGATGAGATGGGAAGATGTCGCGACGAACATTCTCTATGGGACGCAAGAGGTGTTGGGTAATGCCGCTGCGGTATGTCATCCGTCTGCTCATCAATGTATTGATTTAAAATTCTGCGTAAGGTATACAGGTGCTACGTCCTCCGGAGCAAGGACTGGCGTGTCATCGCCCTCCCGCTTATGCTCCTAGTCGGCAGCTTGGGTACGCTCGCCTTAGTTCATCCCTATATCAAGGACTCTGACATTTCGACATTCTACAGTATCCGGCTGCACGATGATCCCACCCCTCGCTGCGGCAGATACGCCGGCGACCCTCCCCATAGACCGCTCGATCAAAGCCTTCTACTCCCTCGCCGTCGCGCAGAACATCCTCACCACCGGGCTGATGGCGTTCCGCATATGGCGCACATCGTCGGAGTCCGCCAAGTACTACGGGAGAGAGAACACCCTGATCCCGATGATCCGGGTCCTCATCGAGTCGGCGGCGTTGCAGCTGCTCGTCGAAGCGCTGACGCTCGGGCTGTACGCAGGAGGATTGAACGCCGTGCTCCTCCCCCAGGGCATGGTGGCGCCCGTCGTGGTGCGTCCGCTCGCTCGTTCTGTCAGCGGAATGGCGCTAATTGTAATTGTGCGCGGTGACAGGGACTAACGTTTAACGCTATAGCCATAATAGCCATTCGTATCAAGCTTCGCATGGTGGTGGACGATAATACTACACACTTGAAGGTCGATCCCGTGCAGACGATTGGGAGCATGCCTAAGAAGCGCATCACGGTGGACACTGTCACCGAGATAGGTATTGATGTGCATCGGCGGGAGAGCTCGACGCCGACACCCAGCGTTCTGTCAAAAGAAGAAGCAGCATAATCCACAATGGTCATCGGCATCTGAGGCTACCCCTATACCACCGGGGCTGCGGTCGCCCATAGAGGCTCGCAAACATCCCTCCCCTCGCACCCAACATCATAGCACGCCGTTAGACTACACCGGGTCGGTACAATGTGGGTTTGGATGGATGCGTACTTGGTGCAGTAATGAAGCCTGCTGCGAGGGAACACTACCATGTTCTCATCTCATTGCGCATCTTATATTATAACCATGGAATTGTGGAAATATCAATGACAAAAGTTGAGAAATAGAGGTTGGACTTGCCCAATGGAGAGGCCGCCTTCATTTCCTATCCAGGTAAGGCGGCGCGCCGAACTCCCCCGGGAACTTCCGCCTGCACTCATTAGCGCCGTCAAAATAGCTTTCCCAACCACTATTAACCGCGATGGCAGGCTCTCCGTTGGGTCATATTTCGCGATGAAGCGACACTGCTGAGGGCTCGCGGGAGGCTTCAAGGCAATTGGCTTAGATATTCAAGAGTTTCGTTCGAATCGGTGCTCGAGGACTGTTACGGGTCCTGGAATGAAAACTCGAGGACTGTTACGGGTCCTGGAATGTGAAATGAAAGGATCCGTTCTTACCTTTAGGGCCCGGTCTGCTCGTCGAGATGTCAGTCCCTCGGGCCTGGGGTTGGCGGAGATTGAACTTGACAAAACCTAGCGCTGGAGTCTGCTCAGGGCGCTTGGGAATCGTCACAAATAAGTCACAGACATCATGGTGGGAAAGCGGCAATAGATACAAAGTAAATACATGCAAACTTCTGCTTTCGGTATTTCTTGTATTTCTTGTCGGCGACCTGAAGTATCCCGGCTCAGTAGGTGATATACTAGTCCAAAAGAGTTTAACATGTGGTACGTTGGTTTAGCGGTTTGCGCGCTTGAGTACTACTTTTTAGCACGGAAAGGTTGCGGGTTCGAGCCACGGATTGTCCTTTTTTCACTTCTTCGTCCTGCTATCTCACCACTAACATTCATTAATAAATAAACACCACAAGCTGTAGTACTGTTTATTGGAGGGAATAGATAATGCAGTTGATACAAGGTGCCACCAGGTATATTAACGCTGACATAATAATGTGACAGGAAGGTCCTAACCCACCCGCAAACCCCCTGGTACAGCAGACCAAACTGTCGGTTTGGAGTAGGTTTGGGCCAGGTTTGGTCCAACCGTGGGAGCCAAATTTGGCAGGTAGGGACTAACATCTCGACGAGCAGACCGGGCCCTTAGTTGGGACGCTTGGGCGCTACGGAAAGAGGGTGGCTATTGTGATAGCCGGATGCCGGTGATCGGGAAATTTGGATCTCATCAAACTTTAAGTTGGAATTAAATTAGCGCTGGGGGATTGAATTGACATTGGCACCAATTCATTGTCTTCCATGTTTATTGCACTTCTCTTCTCCCTTTTTACTCCATCTTGTCATTTTATTTGTCTATATCTTTAAATCTATTAAATCTATATTATTAGAATAGAATGGCCCAAATTGTTATGGTATCAAGATTAATGTTACATAATCAGAAATGAGCACTCACTTCAGGGTCACCCAGGGGAACAGGGGATGGATAGGTAATAGGGAATAGGGACTACCAGACTGAACTCTGGACTATCAATGCTGCCAGATTGTGTCAAGGGTGGCCATAAAGGTATCATGTCTTTCCTCATTCTGCATAATATACTTCAACAAATAGGCTTCAAGTACTCAAATCAAGCAAATCATCAAAACACTGAAGTAAAATATCAACAAATGTAGCATGTAAACTGTAGGATTATACATTTAGTATTGAGTTGACACATCTTAGCTGCTACTATTATAAGAGTAACAGAATGATCTCATGTCTGTAAGGACAAGAAAAGATATCACAGTAGCAAAGTGAGCTACAGGGCTATAAGTAAAAGGGTGTGGTACACTTTTACATGTCTGCTAATTAATTAAGTATGGATCTTTCAGATAGATGGATGTCATGGAGATCAGGACAGTGACTTAATTGGAATTAGTAGGGGGTCAAAGGGATAATTATGGAATAGGGAACAAAGGGGCCATCAGACTCTAAATGCCCTCAATGTTATGGTCCAGTTTATTCCAAAGATCATCTCTTCTCACTATCATATCTAAATGTGGATGTCATGTCCTCTTACTAATCATTATTCTGATATCCTTAGTAATAACCTCACCAGTAACACATGTTTGCAGTACATAGGGTACCACATGTATTACAGTATTTAAAGACTAGTAAAATTCCAGGGAATGCCAGCTCATTCTCTTGGGATTCTGCTAATTCTAGTGTGATATCTAAAGTCAACTAAGCTATCTTCTGTATCTTTTTTCTTTAGTATTCTTGTAGGAGCCATGTTAGTCCTTTGGATTAGTGTTGCCCTAACACACAAGTCATGATTAGGGTGCAATAAAGACACTATTGCTTCATTAGAACACTCAAGTAGCAGACTTCAAATAGCCAAGTCCAGATGTGACATCTATTAAATCATTGTAGTGATACACAAGGGAGTATGGCATAGACATTTACAGATTAACTCACTTCCCTCAGTGTCACAACTCATGAACATAAGCTGTATACATAGCAGAACATCTTTAAGATACAGTCGAGAACAATCAAACACATCAAATATGATCGAGACAGATTGAGAAATTTTGGGACCAAACCGAGTTCAGATTCAGGACCAGACAACCTGAAAGAGCTCAAAAAACGATGTCCAAAGTTTTTCCCACGAGTATTCAATGTGGCCAATTTTTTTTTGGGAATTTTTTGAAACATATACTACCCTTTTGAGCAACTTTTGAGTCAATTTAATGATGAACTAAAGATTCTATCGCTAGTCGCGCCAACCGCAATGACTGGGACCCAGTATTTACATACTATATGTCATATTTAAAACTTTGTGAGTTGCGGTGTAATGTAGAGGCCGGTTATATCATTCTTCGAGGCCTTGGAGGCCTTCCACATTGTTTCATTGATATCCAACAGTGGGGATGACACAGCTGCGCCGATAACGTGATAGCGCCAAGAGGAGACACCCAGGGGTCCTTATCTCACGTGAGCAAGTTTGTTAGTTGTTTTCTGCCTCACCTGCTTGTTAGATATCAATTATTTATATTGTAAAATGTCTAGCTTGAGGAGTACTATAAAATGGCTTATTCAAATTTCACCCATCTTTTTTTTGCGTGTGGCCAAAATGTTGATGGTTCACTGTTTTTCGGCCAATAAACGGCTCGATAGAATTCACTCGGACCACGCGGGATATATTCTAATAGATGCCTATTATCATTCTAAAACAATTCCGGGGGTAAAATTAATGGTCAATATTTATTTGATGTGTTTGATTGTCCTCGACTGTAGTCAGAAAACAAGAGAATAGGGGAAAGTGTTACTGAGCAAACAGAATGGGTAAACATCAACCATATGAACTTATATATATTGCTTGTATATCTTGTCACTGTTCACTGTTAAGGACTGTCCTTGCGAGTACGAGGGCCTCATGTTCGCTGCAGGTACGCGGCCTGCGAGGAAGAGGAAATAAGAACCGAGTACGTACAGGCTTGGCTTCAGCTACTACTGCGCCTCCCACACTCTTGCATGCCCTGTATTTCAATAGGTGAGGATAGAAGAGAGAGAGACTACAACAAAGTAGTTGAGGGATGCAAAGAGGGTAAGAACAAACTAATATTCAGACTGAGGTATGAGTAGCTATGAGTAGAAACTAGCTACTCGTACAAACTAAATACTGAAGGGCACATGGTATCTGTGTGCCCATGAAACCTACATGAGTCTGGTAACAGTATAAGCATATGTATTAGTATGTAACTAGTACAAAAGTCTGAGTATCCGCGCATACACGCAGACCAAATGTCCCAATCTTGTATCATGTGATCATGCCCCTAGTACCCCCTAAGGAGCTTCCTGATCGTGCCCATAACAGTCACTAGAGCCCCCCAGAGTTTTTATGAACATCAGAGAACATGTGGGAATCAAGTAATGTGCAAGCCTTGAGCTAAGGCTCTTTCTCTCTCTATACCTATGTACTCCATGGCCTGCAGTTCCTTCATGTCAACTGACCTATGTTGGGCCATTCTCAGCATGGGAATGCCTCTAGACATCAACTCAATTGTCCCCTACACTGGTTGCAAGCTACAGATTGTTCAATGTGTACTCCAGAGTTTCTCGTGCTGCTGGGTTGATGCTTTGCTGCAGTTTTGTTCAAACCCATTCAGAGTATGTGTCGCCATTGTAGTTCAGTGGTAGTAAGAATATAGAAAAAATCACCCAAAAATCAGATCATAAAAGTCTGCCTGGAAACTGTTGGGGGACTCCAGCAATGGTATATACAAGCAATATATGTAGATGTAAGGCTGCTAAGCCCGTGTTCCAAAGTTATCATTCACCAAAGATGTGCACACCCAAGTGTGCATTTTTCTACAAAAGGGTGCCAGTGCCAACTGTTTTGTAAACAGCAATAATACTCAAAATAGGCCTCTCACAATCTGGTTTTTCTGTACTATATCTATCCTTGAATGAGTCCATGTAAGACAAAGTCACAGGTCGGAAGTTTGTTATTTGTTGATGCTCACCACTATTCATTCTGCTACTGTCTACTCCACAGTTTCCATCTGTTATCTTCTTTTACAATGTGGATCTCATCTCCATCTCCTATTCTAACTTCAATGATTCAATGACTATCTATTTTACCAAGTACTATTATAGATCAATAGAACCTGTACAGGCCATGCATTGCAGTGGCTACAGCCCCAAGTCCTAAGATTTCGTGTGAGTGCTGCGCCATCATCTAATTTCACCTTTGCTAACATGATCTCAAGTAGTGAACAAATCATACGCTATACATGGGATTGGGTTCATGTCACGCTCCTTCAAACCAAATCTATTTGGCTCCGAGTGTCCGTACAGGATTTCGAAGGCGAGCATCTGCTCTACAGCAAGTCCCGAGCGACCCGGAAATTCATGCTGCGTCTGCATTCTGCAAGCTTGAAGGACTTGCCGATATGATAGACTTTCAAGTGACGGACTATGGCCGGGTGAGGATATGGTATATCATCTCGAACGACGCGGATCGAGGCCGTCAGCATGTTGGCTTGCTAAAGCCGGGCACTGTGCGTACTTCGTGTCTTTGACTGAGCTCTGATGGAATGCTGATGCTCTACAATAGAATTGACGCGCTGCTGGGGGCTCCCCATGACCTGGGAGTATCATCGCCTCGAAGCATAGCATATCATCGTCCACGCAGGCATTAATGGTAGCACGGCTCTAATCTACACCGATATCAACTTCTCAAGGCCCAGCAGCCCTCGCCGCCACCCAATCGGTCCATCCAATCGGCCTTCAACCTCTTCGTCTCGGACCCATCATCCACATCTTGTTCATCCAAGACATGGAAAGCAACGCCGCCGTCCTCGCCTTTCGCTGATCGATCCAGCGCCTCCAGGACGTGCATCATATCCTTCGTGAGTCTAGCACTCCGAACGGACTTGACCGATACTGGGGCCGGTTGTACCATCAAGATCCTCATCTTCTTCGGCAATGTCGCCGCGAAGAACGCCTGTCGTCCACTCGCAATACATGCGCTCGGCGAGGACGATGGCTGAAGGAGGCCATCAAGCTCATGTGCAAACGCCACGGCCCTTTCTACGCCTGATATCCGCAGACGCGATATTGACGGACATGACGCTTCCAACCCGCCAAGCTGGAACAACCCGTGGGGGTTGCGGTTCCCCGAGAGATGCAGCCGCTGGAGCGCCGGCATCGACTTGGACGCACTAGGAAACGGATAGTAGCCATGCACAGCGAGCTCGGGAACGAAACCCGGAATAACTGGGATATCAGGCATGTGCTCGTCCAGGGCGTCGTGGCGAGGAAAGCGAGGGATTCTAATGTTGAAGCTGCGAAGTGCAGGATCTTGATCATGGCGGTCTCCACCGCGGGGTCTGTATCTGCTCGCTCATGTTTAGAAGATGGAGGTGGAGATGAGGGGGCGTCGGAGATGAAAAGGTGGCGGATTCTGCGTCGGTGGGAAGGCGTCTTCTCCAAAGTAGCTGCTACCCTCAGTATCTGTCCGCCCCGTCGATCGCCATCGACTGGTAGATAAGTGGCACCGCAATGGCATGGTAATACCGCGAGACGCGAAGCAATGCGCGAACGGACCTTTCCCCACATCCCGTCTATGCCACTGCGCCCGTCCAACTACCTTGCACCCACTACCTGACGACACCTACGACACCCCCCGCGTCTTCTCCATCTGCGACCCTGGAGTAGCGAGGACGGAAGGACATTGGAGAATGGGCCAAGGAAAGAAGGGATAGGACGGCGAGGGGCTGGCGTAGGGGAAGACGACGACGACGATGCACCACAGCCTGAAGAAGGTCCCCATCGTGTCGAGAAACTTCCCCACTCACCATCAGCCTCCACGCTCCCCTTCCCGTCCCTCTCGCACCCCGTCACCAACTTTATGCGGGGCCGACTAGGCCTCGTGGCGCACCTACTCCCTTCCACCATTGGGAGACGTCGGGATTGCACCCCTTCGCTCGTGGAGCGCCCTGTCGCAGGTCATCAACGCCAGTGGATATCGAGTACGACCACGATGGAGAAGAGCTGCGGGACGTGCGTCAGGAGTCGTTTAGGGCAACAATAGCGCCAAAGAGACTCAACGGTAGTGATGGGGCATGAGAGCGAAGCGGAGGACTCACCAAACTGAACGTGCGCACCGACACCTCTCCTCCGACGTCTCCACCCTCGAGGGCCCATCCATGCCTGCGCACGACATCACCGTTCTCGCCACCCACTTTCTAATCGCGCACACCGCACAAAGCGCCCTCAAAACCCCCACTGGCGACGACAAGACGAAGGGGAGACTAGCACGGCAGAGAGGCGTGCTAGGCTCGTCCGGAGACGACACGGCGCCGACCAAGAATACGCGCTACCTCTAGCGATTGGGCATACGAGAGACCGCGGCGAAAGAGCCCACGAACCAGTAAACAAGCAACAAGGTAAGCGATCATGTTTCTCTACAAAACAGGAACGACTTACGAACATGTCTTGGTTCAGAGCGTTCCCCGTGGTGCCTCTCCTTCCTTCATCCCCTACATCCCTCGCTATTCCGCGATGTCCCCGCCTTCGGTACCCACTCCTCTAGTGCGTGACTTGCCACCATCCTTTGGCCTCTCCCTAGACGGCCTGGTGCTGCTTCAAAAACCAGCCGTGACAATCCATAGAAAACGAGAGGGCGCTCGGGGGAGTAAACGAATTAATCAACGACACGACGAATGGAGGGGAGGGAGGAATGCGAACGGAGGGGAGGGATGGATACGAACGTACGCGAGGGAGGAATACGAGCAAACGGGAGGAAGACGAAGTTGGATAGACGGGAGGAGACGACAGGATGGAGGAATACGAATGGGACGCGAACGGAAGGGATACGATCTGGCTGCACACGCAAACGCAACCAGCGCATGGACGAACGAAGGTACGAAGAGGAACGAAAAGAAATGGAGACCACCCGCTGCATGCGCACGCACTCCCCGTCTTCACTCCCATCCCACCTTCACTTCCATCCCCCGTCTCATTGCATCCCGCCTGCACTCGCAGCTTGCTCCATTGTTTCGCCTCGTAGTACACCTTCCCTCCCTCCCATCGTATCCCATCGCATCGCCTTGTATCCCCTCTCCACGCCACCCTAGCACGTCCACCCACGCTATGGACACTACCCCCACACTACGCCCAGACGACGAAAAGACGAAAGACGGGCACGCAGGCGGAGACGGCTGACAGCACAAGTGCCTGCGTCTGCAAACGTACGCCCGCGCTGATGAAACAAACAAAGGTGTGAGTACGCGCGAGGCGGGGCAGACGAGGGAGACGATGTACCCTGATTCTGCACCAATACCACCCTGATTTTTTTTTTTGAATCCAATTAGCCTCCGTAGTGGCGTTGCCATATGTGGGAGGGTATGTACTACTGTGTCTACCGCCTATGTCTAGTCCGTGCCATATCCAAGAGAAGTAGTCCTCTGACCACTGCCTGGCGCCGCCGTTGGCAGCGCCGTGGCGGTTTATACCGCATAATAGCATGTCTGAGGTAGTGAGCCCCGTGCATGTGTCGAGTATTGTAGTAGTGAATTATTTGAGGTGTATCGTAGATGCGCCTATTCGTGTACGATCCGCCGTGTCTGTGCCACAAATTTCAGGATGGCTGGGTAGTGCTTGATGTTACCCAGGATTGCTGTCGCTGTTCCCGCTGCTCTCCCTATCTCCCCCCGCAGTACCTCCCTTGCCACCCGGTGCGCCGTGCATTTTGCCAGGTAGTGCGTGACTGTCTCTTCATATAGACTGCATGCCGAGCACATTGGCGATGGGACGGCCCCGATTTTGTGTAGGTGCTTGTTCAGAGGCGCGTGTCCGGTCAGCAATTGTGTGATGATGCTTGCCTGCCGTCTGGTCATGCTTTCGACTGCCTTCTTGTGCCCCATTGACGTCCTCCCTAGCCCCAGTTCCACCATCCTCCCATACCTCTCTGACAGCATCCATCCCTTCCTTGCCCTCTTCTTCAACTTGACCTCGTATGCCTGAATCACCGCCGCTTTGCTCCTCTTTATCGCATCTTTCTCCCGCAGTGGCGCTGGCAGGCTGCCCTTCTTGCTCACCCACCCCTCCGCCGCTTCCCTCGCTGCTTTGTCCGCTCTCTCGTTCCCTTCCACTCCCTCATGCCCCGGTATCCAGCGTACCGTCAGCTTGATCCCTGCGTTCCTTCTTCGTGCTGCTGCAAACACTGTGTGTGCGTGATCGAGGAGGTAGCTCCCAGGGTTGGCCTTGCGCGACCCTATGATGGCTGCTTGGTTGTCGACGTATATGCTTGCTGATTCGATCCCTGTCTGCCGCCTGATCAGCTCCATTCCCAATACCAATGCCGCGCACTCCCCGTTGTACACTGTGCAATCCTTTTCTGTGCCCAGCCTCATCTTGAGTACCCCCGTCGTTGCTCCATTCTTCGTCATCACCGCTGCGGCCCCTACTTGTCCCTTGTACCCAGAGCCGTCCGTGTATACCTTTATCCTTGTCCTGTCACTGCTCTCTGCCCTCACCGCCTCTATCCTCGATACCACCCTGATTTCTTGCGAGTTCCCCGCTCATTCCCCGAGCGCGCAGTATGCCCTTGACAGGGACGTCGGCAGCGTCGAGTGTCCCGCACGGAGGCACGCACACACGGAGACATACACCAGCTCTTGCGGCGCTGGCGTTCGTTCGTGAGGAAGACGACGAGTGCGTGCGGGTTGAGCAGCGAGGTTGGATCTGGATATGGTGGATAGTCAGCGCGGGGAAAGTGTACTAAGAGAACGAGAAGGAGACGGGGGATGCGAACGAGGGGAAAGGGAACACGAAGGGTTACACAGCCAACGCCCTCCCGTCACCGCCTCGTCACCCACTCACCCAGCATCGCACTACGTTCGGCTCAGGGCCGCGTATTACCACGTACATGCGTCGTCGCCGGTCCGTAATCTGGGACCACGTTGGTGAGCACCATATTGACTCGCTACTCACTTTCACTCACGCATTCTTTCACTCAGACGCGACCCTTGGTCGCTAACTCATACCCACACATCCTACCCACTCCGTGAACGTTCTCCACAGCCCTTGTACCCAACTAGGCTGAACTTGGCCCAGAACCCACCCCACCGCCCTCCAACACGGCCTAACCTCCTATACACGCCCCCACGGACCTCCAACACACCCAGACGCTCAAGCCGGCGCTTACACACTCTCCAAAGTCAGCACCCACGCCCTCGAAATCGCTCCTGAACATGAAATGGCTTGGGAATTGAGTGAGGCAAGCGCCAGGCGGCAAACGAAAAGAAATGGGGGAAACGTGAACGATAAAAGGGAGAAACGAAGGGAGAAACGAAGGGAGAAAATGGTGAAATAGAAACGTGAAGCGTTGAATGGTTCGAGGTGAGTCAGGCTGTTTTTTACCCCGCGCATTCACCTCATATGGCGCAGACAGGCTTGTCGAGCACGAACGGTGCCCGTGCAAATGGGGATGGGCCCGGAAACGAACGCAAACGAAGGAAAACTCAAACGAACGCCCACTCAAACAAGGGAACTCGAGAAACGAGGCACTCAATGCCATCAAACGACGACGACGGAATAATGAGAACACACGCGCGGAGTGGACACGTACATATACACGAGCGACGAAGGGAGAGCAGCGGACGGGAAACGAAGAAACGAGGAACGAGGTCATAAATACAGAGGTGCGTCGACGTGGTTGAACTCGCGAACGTGCGCTGACCGTGCATACGAATGGGGGCGTGCAGGGTGAAGACGATGATGCGGGACATGGGCACGGGAACGGCCCTTTGGAACGACCGAGGGAGGCAGTGGTTGGGCCCGAGAGAAGGGCCAGGCAACGACGAGCAAGGTAAGTATGCACGCCCTCCATGTTCCCCGTTTCGTTCCTTCTCACTCCTTACTCTCACTGACGCATTCACTCACTTAGCCGATCGATCTATACGTCCCGCGGCCGCTAATAGGTCGTATCGGCCCCAAACGCCGCTGAACCACCCACATAAGCTCGCGCCGCCTTGGTTTTCCCACCCAGCCGCCTTATATCACCGCAGACGGCTTCGACGGCCTTTGGGCTAACGTCGTGTGTACATTCCTCGGGGGATGTGTCAGTGAACGAACGAGGACGACGGCAGAGAGTTTCCGGAGGCGAACGAGAGGGCGAACGAGAATGAGGGACGGAAAACGAGAACGAGAGAGAAAAAACAAGACGAGAAGGGGGAGAATGAATGAGGTGCGTCCCCTCTTGACTGAACGAGTGCGTGCTGACGCTTTACTGCGACGGCGCTTGCCTCACTCGGCGCACGGACTCCACGCGCGAGCACAGACGAGGAGTGGGAGCGGGTGGAGGCGCAATGGCCTGCGCTGGTTCTCTCGTCCCCGCAAATTCGGAAAGGGTGCTCGCCAATGGTATCCTGCCGCGCTTTCCGTCGTCATGTTCACTGAATCATACCACACCCAGCCGCCTCTGCGCCCATCATGCTGGTCCTCATACGCAAGTGCGGTATTGACCTCTGCCGCCAGTACTTCCGAATCCAATTTGTCTACGAATTTAAATAAAGCCACTTTATACAATGTAGTTTCGAGGGAACAATAACTACAATATGACGGCGTGCAATACATCCCTTTACATGCCATAGCCAAAGGACACCCTCTGGTACGGATCAGCGATGGGGCCAGCAAGGCCAACACCAGCAAAGGGGCTCACGCCAGCAAAGGAATTCGAGAATCCGCCAAGATGGGCAGGTGCAGGCAATCCAGACGCATGCGGGGACCCGCCTTGAAGGACATAGCCATCCAGGCCTTGTGCTTGGAGCGAGTGCATCTGCGGCATCAGATGGACAGCTCCGCCGAGGGGTGCATCGCCTGAGGAACGTGGCGCGCTGCTCCGTGTCCGCCGATACCTAGAGTGGCCAGTGCCATGGTGAGCGCCTGTTGATTGAAACCGTGCAATTGATCCTTCTGCTCACGTTGCAGTTTGTTCTGAATGCGTTTGCCGTAGGGCGTATTGCGGATCAGGGGAAGGAGAGGACGAATCCCTTCGACGAGGAGTGCGCGCTGGTTGGGTTCGGCATAATCGAGAGCGGTCTACTACGAGGCAGACGAATGGAATAGTACGTGAAACGAACATGCAACTAACCTGCACGCAGTAGTTACCGCACGAATCGCGGAGAAGCTTCTCCAAACGCGAATGATTCAGGAACTCCTCGATTAGCATCTTGCGTGTGGCGTGCTCTGCTACACGGACACATTTCTCGATAACGGTCGAGCTGAACTTCTGAACGGACAGAGCACAGACATTGCCCTGGAACTGACGGATTACAGCGTCGCTGAAACGACTGTCGTTGAGATCCAAGATATACTGAACAACCTGATATTGGGATAAGCCGATGTCACCCAAGCGAACAGAAGAGGTCGACTTACATAGTTGCCGTAAGGATCTTGGACAAGCGTCAAGGCATTGAAGGTGATCTCGTTGACGAGCTGAATTCCCTGGCTCTCCGAAGCGCGATCGATGCAGCGCTGGAGAACGCAACACCCATGCCGATGAGTAGCGACCTCGACGCAATTTGCCACAACAGCGTTGTAGATGAACTACAAAATGGAGGGGAAGACAATCAGCAACGGCGTGTGCTGCCCTATAAATGGACGCACCTGATTGTCTTCGGGGGCCAATTTGTTCACGCATTTTTGAATGACATGGTTTCCATTCAGATCCTTCACCAGGACTACGACGTGCAGGCTTAGCGCAAGAATTATGGAACGAATCTGAACATGGTATCGGTGATCAGTCTGCGCAGTTCGGTAAGTGGAATAGGTGAGATACAACTATTACAAGACTTGCCTGGCGTCGAGTAGAAAGGAAGTCAATCATTTTCTGAACTGCGCGCGTTCCGTGCATGTTGAGGGAAATATTGACAAGATCTTGCGCAACAGACTCGCAAATCAAATTCCGTTGTTCATCCGTGGAATACTCCAACAGCTTCTGGCAGAGATAGTTACCGAATAGATCTATGGTGGAAAATTAGCCTCTAAAATGGACGTGAATTGTTCGTCGTGCGTGCTTACCATTCATTAGCTCTGGGAAATGTTTAAAAGTCTCACGGAAGATCATATCCCGATGCTCTGGAACGCCTTCTTCCAACTTTTTCTGTAAGAAGCGGCAGGCGTGTTGATCCTTGCACATAGTCGCTATTTCCCCCTGGAGGTCTTCCAATCGAGTGCCTGCCAAGCGGTTGACTGTAGTTCTCGTTAATTAAATGTGCTGAGAATGAGCAACGGAAGAACTTACATTCCCTGTCGATGTCTCCGCGGTTGTGCTTAGGACCGTGAAGCCCACCCATCTTGCTATCTCGTCCACCAACGCTAGGCCTGGCTGGAGCACTGAGTCCGTATCGAGAACCATTGTGGCGATACAATGCTGTTGAACCACTTTTCGTGCTGTTCGCTGAGGTGGCACACCCGTACGGACTGCCGTTCATGCCACACCTGGAATCAACGCCGGACTACGAGGCGGAATTAGCTCGTGGTACGTACATAGAGGAAAATCATTGAAATTTGACATACCTGCATGGAGTCATCAAGGGCTGAGCCATTAGGACTGTAGCTACCATCAAACTGGCCAGACGGAAGGCGGGTCAACGAAGCGCCTAGGTCGCTCGCACTGATGGGGCTATGGTCGCCAAAGGAAGACCCATGTGAAGTAATGCAAGGACTCAAGACGCCCGTATCGGGTGTGCACGGGGTTCCCGGGGTCTTGAGAATGTGAGGCACCGCACTAGGGGTACCTAACGTTGTTGCAGTGACAGATCGGGTAGAGGCTAGCGTGTCTAAGAAAGAAGGTGGAGATCCACGGCGAGACGACAGCAAAAGAGAGGACTGCGAATGTTGCTGTAGAAGAGGGGTTGCGGATGCAGATACCACACCCGCAAGCTTCATATCATGCAATGGAACATTGGGACTTGTGACATTGTGATGTTCGTTGCGAGATGAAAGCCCTTCTGGCGCACGAGGGTGGCTTGGGAAAGGTGGCCACTCAGATGACTTCTCATGTGGCTCTGCTGACAGAGAAGAATACGATGCTTGAGGCGATGTAGCTTGCGAAATGTGAGCGAGGTCAAGAGCTGCGGATGATGTCTAAGTAGAGGGGCCAGAGTTAGCAAAAACCACGACACGTCTCTCCGAGATCTACCTTCTGGGGATACGAGTTGCCAAACTTGTCCTCATCAGAAGTAGGGAGGTGTCTCATTGCATCTACCAAACAAGGATTAGTGTCAAGGAAAAGCAGGCAAGGGTTTGGCAGTGGCGCGACGTACTGTGCATCTCTTGGTCAAGCTGCTCATCCAACATCATACCAGCGTTATAAGTGCTAGTGTACCGTGCACCTTCATCGTCCATGAAGTGACTGCTACCTTTAGCTAGAATGGATGTGGAGTTAGATCCTGGAACAGGGGAAGCTCTATTTGAACGATCGCCACCGAAGGAAAGTCCATGCAATTGACTAGCCAATTCTTCATCATGACTACTAGCGGACGTGCAGCGACTAGCAGGCATGCTTTTAGCACCGGGATTCCGTGTGAACCCGTTGGTCGTGGCCGCAAGGTCGGGGGAGAGGTTGACCGAGGGGGCGTAAGTGACCGACTTGCGCTTGTCAGCGACTGCACTTCCCACTGCTTGTGAGAGACATTCGGCGTCCAAAGGCAGCCGTCGTCCCAAACGATATCCATGGCTAGCGTCGCTGTTCAGAACTGCATTGACATGCGGGGGCGTGGTAGGTGCAGAGACAGCAAAGTTGTTGCCATTTACAGATGGGTCGTATGGGATGTTCAGCAGTTCCTGGGCCTGTTGCACCTCCAAGGCGTGCATTTGATCCTCGAAGATCTTGCGTTGGAGAAGGCGCTGCCTCTCATGCTCGAGATGCTCGAGTTCGAACCACTACAGATCAACAATATTAGCATCAAGGCCATGATTCTCGTTTTGAGTGATGGAAAAAAAGTTAAGTGAAGGACGGCCGCCCGCGCCATGTGATGGGGAGTAGGGCGCTTTCACCAAATAAAGAGACATACCAAGTCTGCCAGATCTCAGAACGCAGGGGGGCTTTGCTTCCTACCGTCGGAAGCAGAACGATTATCAGAGGACACAATCCCATTTTCCAAAGACGAGGCGTTCATTCCGAGTGATTTTATATCCGAAAGAGGCGGTTTTCTTCCAGAACGAGGAACGACAGAACAGAAAGCGAATGAGTAAGATAATGCCTGAACCAAGGATACTATGGTAGCTGTACTGTTAGCGCTGTCGTTACCATCAAACATCGAAGGAACTGACCAAGTTTTGAGCCCGTTCTATTAAGGACTGTTGGTACAATGCGGCAGATATGGGCTGAGCAGCGAAAGCAATGGGTGAAAGCAGAGCGAGAAGGAAAGGCTGAGCGACAGTCCCTTTTAAAAACTTCAGAACGAGGCTAACTGAAGAGTTGTAAGATTCAGCGTATGGAAGTGTATTATATGAGGACGGTCACTGGGACGAACATGGGAGTGATGAGAAAAATCCCCCGTTGGAAAGAGACGGCCGTAGCCCTGTCCAGATGCCGTAGCCTGCATGTCTGCCGATATACCAAGCCTTGCCATCGTTTCTTTACGTACTCCCTTGGTTTCTCGCGCTCACGCCCTTCGTATGTCGTATCCCCGTTTTCTACAACACGGTAAGCAGCGCCCCCAAGTGACTGCACCGACTGGCCTCGTTAACGTAGCGCGACGACGCTCACCTGTAACGCCAAAAGGTGACATAATTGACCGCCAGCAACAAGCAACCACCGCGAGAATGCTTCGAATACCCGCCCGCCCATATCCGTCGCCCTTGGTAGGACCAGTCACCACTGTGTGCTCAACCTCGCTTGGACATTCATGGGTGCTTGTTTGGCGCTCCCCCTGATTTGGACGCCAAACACGCAACAACAACGCACTTGTCTTTGTGAACCAACGGTCAGACATGCAAGCCACTCCTCGCTTCCTGCTTCTTCATCACCACCATCACCACCACCATTATGCGCCGTAATATGCGCCTCCTGCCGCCGGGCATTCTAGCATCTCTTTATTGGTAGGTTTTCCTTAATACTTCCCGAGGATGATGGCTAGACTTACCTCGCAGAACTCACAAATGGACAGTCGCCACCGATAGTGGTGTGTACGCCAGGGGAGTGCCTCTTCAAGGGTCCTCGAATATGACCAGTAAGTGCTAGTCTTCGAGGAAACGTATCGCGGCTCGTTTCTCAAAGTTGGCGCCACGATATCTTAGAGCTTCTACCTGGACAGTATACGTCCACGATGAACGTTTGAACCCCCATCCCAAACTCCTCCACGTTGCCCACATCTTCCTTATCATCGTCTCCTGGTTTTGGGAACGCCACCAACATCAACCTCCCGCTGGACCTTGTGCTGGATCCAGGGATCGCCGTATTCCCCCAGCCTCTCTACGCCGGCCCATCTGCCTTCGCGCCACTCCCAATCGCGGCAAACTCCTCCCTTTCGACCCCACTCTCCGCGATCCAGTCCGTCGCGCTCTCATCCAACACCTGGATCGCCCTCGACAACCGCGCCGTGCTCTGGGACTCGGTGTCCGACATGCGCAAGCTCCCCCTCGGCAACAACATCTCGTCTCTCCCCCTCGTCGCCATCCAGTCGTCGGCCTGCTCCGCAGCGTGCTCGAGTACAGGCGGGGTGTGCTCGGCCGCGAGGTCCTGCTCTTGTGAAACTTGAAGCCCAACCTTAGATGGACCAACTAGCGCAATAAGGCAGAGGCTAGAGATGAATTGGGGCCCCAATGCAAACGATGGAGACATCGCTGGCGCTGGGAGGAACGTACAAATCAACCATACGTCTTCGAGTATGAGTAGCGCTAGTAGCGCCGTTCAGGGGCAGGACGACGACGTTCCTACGTATGGTGTACCGGGAGGCATTGTGGTCGAAGACGACGAGCGGGCTCCGGATGTCAGCCTGACGACCGCGAAGTTGAGGATCGGGGATAACAGTTTCGTCTCTGCAGACTTTGAGGGAGCCGATGAACGCCAAGAAAGTCCCGAACCAGCGGGAGAAGGGGTCCTTCGGAACGACTGGAAGGGAGGCGTCGACGACATCGCTTCGCCAGGGTTGCCACTGGCAAACCCTCACGATTTGGCTGCGACACGCTTGAAGGGATAACGAGGACTACTTCCCCCGTTCGCGATTCTCCTTTCCGCGACCTCGGAAATAGCCCCTCCTCCACCACCCCAGCCCCCAGTGGCTCAACTACTGGCTCCACTAGTGTCCCACCTTCGCCCGTCTCTGGCTGAATTGAGAGGTGAAAAGAATCCCGATTCTGGGATGAGATGTAGTCTCTTCATGCCCCATCCTAACGCGCCGAAGCCGACTGTTTTGTCGCAAGGCCCGATGTATATTCGTGACCCCACTTCCCATGTTCTGCCGTACGTTGCCGCGCTGCCGTATGGTTCCCAAAGGCCCAGCGAGCCAGACCATCTGTCTGCGCCGCCAATTCGCAGTATCCGCCGACAACAGCCACCCCTCCCCCACGTCACCCAGGCAGCGGGCTTGGCGGACTCTCAAGGGCGTTGCACATGGCGATGACGTCGAGAGGAACTTTGGGCAGAGGCCCGACGTTATTCGCTAGATGTGACATCGATTTGGCGAGTTCTATTGGGCCAGTAGCCATCACATTCAGTCCCGAGCCGTTTGTATGGCCTCCTCCTGGACCAGCCAACATCGCGGCTGCTAGTGGACCTGAATTAATGCCTCCCGCGTCTGCGCCTGGTGGAGGGGTACCGGGGTCTATGACGCCAGGAAGGACGTTGTCCGGAGGGCCCGCTGGACCTCAGCCAGATACCTCCAGCCCCAAACCGCCTGGTGTCACTCTACCTACGACAAATGTAATTGAAGTACAAGTACATGGAAGCGCAGCGGCGTCACCTCTAGAAAAACGGCCAGTGGATCTGCCACACCTAATTCAGGCGTTATTCCAAGGCCAAATTTCTACCCGAAGGCATCATCTGCGCGGCCTCGTTCAAGGAGTTTCTCCGACTTTGGCTCAACAAGCATCGAAGTACCGATGCCGATTGCTTCGTACGTTTATTCGTATACTCTTATTCTTCCGGACTTCATTGATGCGTTTCCTGATAGCGACGACAACACCCCTCTGAAGATCCCGTCAATGCGGACCATGGCGAGATCGTCAACAGCTAGCCGGGCGTCGCAAGGAAACACTACACTTTCGCCGAAGCCACCTGCATTGAAGCTTCAATCCAGTCTACGCTCACCATACGCGCCATCTCCCTTGTCGATACCATCGTCTGGTCTCAGCGCACGAGGCGCCCCAAATCTCCCACCAGTCCGCTGTCTCAGTCATCCACATCATTTGCGCCTTCGTCTCCTACCACTTCCTCACGACGACACCAACTAAGACAAGTGACCTCGAATCCGACACTCGCCGCGCCTCCTTCCCCTCGTATCATAGTACCGCCGTCGCTTTCAAGGAAAAGGTCGTCGGGCGCCTCTCCGACATCTCCCACTCAGCAATCGACGTCGGATCGAGGATCTACATCGACGCCTCCGAGACAAAACTCTATCCCTGACGTCTCCTCCAGCGCTGCTTCAAGGGTTTCCGTCGATGGGGAGAATCCCTGCGGGATGGTAGCTTCGCCTACGCCAATGGTCACCCGTCAATTATCCCTACCCTCGAAGTTATCATTGCCCAATCTTCGGCGAAAGCAAAGTCGACAAGATGACGCCTCCAGCATCGCCGCAAGCTCGATCGATAATGAGTACGAGACAGCGCAGGCCGAGGGCATGGACTTCGAGCTTGTACGACCCAGCTTCAGCCACCTTCATTCCGCAAGAACCAGCGAAGATTCGTCTTTCGTGAAGGACGGAGGGTCCATCGATCTAGGCAAGCCAGAACTGACTATTGGCGGACTCTTGCGAACGGGTAGTCCTGCGATGTCTTTCTCGTGGGCATAGGCAAAGGGAGCTCCGGTGGATTGCGCTGATGTCGTCCGTACCTGCTTCGCAAGCGAGGAAGAATAAGAAGGTGAAGAAGCTTCTAGTAGAGGGTGTCCCGTCCTCCGTGAGGTATCTGGTGCGGATCCATCTGACGGACGGGAAGGCAAAGAATGTGCCGAAGGTATATGAGCAGTTGGTGAAGAGGGGGCATGTACCGAGCTACAAGGAGATCGAAAGGGACGTGCAAGCGTATATTCGAGAGAACTCCCAACCCCCCACAATGAGGGAGTCCATGATGTCGTTACTCGAAGCGTACTTGACCATGGTTCCAGATGTGCAATATAGTCGAGGTGCGTTTTGATTAACTCGCCTCTTCGTGTTTTCAACTGACCGTGATGTAGGTCTAACCTTGATTGTCGGGAATATCCCGTTGTTGGCACCTGAGGAAGACAGATTTTGGACGTTCGTTTTCCCTGATGGACTCGTATCTTCGGCCCTATTTCTCCTCGAGCAGTTCACAGATGGAGGTTGACGCCATGCTGTTCAGCCGGGCACTTGAGGCGAATGATCCTCAGGTGGCCAAGAAAGTATTCACGACAATGTCCCTTAATCCGACCGCTATCTGCTTCCCTTGGTACGCCGCAGCCTCTCCTCGTGATTGCTCCGTACTCACAGATCGTAGGTTTACGGGATACCTGTATATCGTATTCGGGTAATCGGTGAGAAATGGTGGAGGAACGGGCTCACCTTCGAACAGAAAGAGATCCCACACTCGCTGAACGTACGATGAAGGGAGCGTGTTGACGAAGAGGGAGGTTCCTTGTTCGCGTCGGTCTCGCCCTCATCAGCACCTGCCGTCGACAAATCCTAGAAGCTACAAGCACAGAGGCCGTCCTCCAGCTACTTCATCATCCACCCTCTTCGCTTCTCCTATCTTCCCCCGACGCTTTCCTTTCTCTCTTGAATTCCTTCAAACTCAAAGACGACTACTTTCGTAAACAAAGGATCAAAATGGAGGCTCAAGTAAAACACCAAACACTCCGGGCGCCTGCGACTAGTTCACTCCCGAAATAATAGCTTTGTTACCATACACAACGGACCTTTGGACATTACCTATCTACCTTTCATCTACCTCGCAACTGCTATCGAAGTTCTCCTGTTCTTGTTTACACTCTTATTTTCTCTGGGATATATATTGGTGCCCGAAAAATGGACGATGATAGACACACTACTAATCTACAGTGTTGCTGAACATACCCAGAGGTTTTGAAATTCACTCCCATCCCTTATGCTTATCTATTTCGTGGAACCACTGTATTATTCGTGTTCATTGTCCGTAGACACGCAAAATATTGTATATATACACAACATGTACAGACAGAATATCCATGGACTTCGACGAGGATGCGGTGATATCGCTCGTGAGCAAGTAACAGAATCAGGAAGAGTGACCGGAAGGATAGCAAAGTGATAGCGATATGGTGCTGGGAAGGGGAGATATAAACAATTGATCATGAGGAGTTGTAAGGTAGGATGGTCGATTGCGATGCGTGTGAGGAGGCGTCGAACGGCATAATGATACATGAGGGCAACGGCGGCGATGACGTTGAACGATGTGGCGGCGGAAGGTATGGCGTAGAGGGAGCCCTGCTGGCAGCGTGTGGTAAACGTTCGGCGGCGGCTAGTACAAATATGAACAAAAGAAATCCGTAAGGTATCGTAGAAAATCCGTACAAAGTACATAATAAACAGTACAAGGAATCCTTTCGAAGATGCACATTGAATAAAGTAATGGAAGATGATATGGCACTTTTGGTCCCAAAGTTGAAGCGATGAGAGGGATGAGGATGGGGAATATGTGGGATGTAATGATATCATCGATGCAAGGTATAACCTGAACGGCGAGACGAAGCGAAGGCCAGAGCCGAGATGTTGTGGGTGAGGAGTCCACCGCCGTTCATCGCCGGGTGTAGTATTGCTTGTCGGGGAAGTTGAAGAGGCGTTTGCCATTGTTCTCGACTTCGACTTCGATGGTGACTTCTTTCTCCACCCCATCAACCATTTGCTTAACCTTCCTCTTCTCGATGGAGGGCGGCATCTTCATTGGTTGATAGGTAGGAACGTTGTCATATGACCAGGATCGTGCTAGAGGACGATAAGAGACTGCGATAATGCAAAGAACACCACGCTACTCACTTTCAATGACAGGACGCCTGTATCCATAAGCTCCATCCTCTACTTGACTTCCTTTGGAAGAGGGAGAGCGAACTGTGGAACTCGAAAGGCTTGGGCACGATCCAGTGTAATCCCGAAGCTTGAGATTGGGTGCAAGAAGCTTCCCCTGTGCTAGCGGGTGCACCAAGGGTCGTTGTTTGGTGGGCGCCGATCGCGACTTGCCTGACGCACACGATGGAGTAAGTGAACGAGCGCGGACGAAGGACGAGTGATAGTTATAGAGGAGGAGTTCGTCTTCGTACGATTGGGGCGAAGGTGCTGGGGTGGGAATAGTGGAGATGTCCTTCGTCCCAACTGTTGAGTAGACACCCTTCGAGCGATGAGCGCAAGCGTTGTGTGACGTCGCGGGCAATCCATTTGGGCGAAGCCATCTTGCGTGCTAGGATCGGATCAATTGGGATAGCGAGGTGGCAGGGTGGCGAGGCGATGGGGTGGCGCAGTTGACTGGGACACGACGGCAGCGAAGCGAACGGTTGCCTCGCGTGCTTCTTCCTTCTTCGTTTGTCCTTTCGTTGCCCGCGAGTCGACCCATCGTCTGTCGTGCCGTCTCCCATTGATTCGTGGGCTCGTGTGTTCGTATCCTCGCGCATCTACCCGCTCCCGCTCCTCGTCTATGCTCGTGTGTGTTGACGCGTGGAATGGGCAAACGCTGTCGCGAAAAAGCGAAAAAGCGTCAGCACGCGCTCGTTGACTCGAAGGGGCACGCACCTTGCTCGTTCTGCCTGTCGTGCCCCCTTCCCGTCTCGTGGTCTGTCTCTCATTCTCGGTTTCCCCCCGCTCGCCTGCCTGCCTTCTCTGGTGTTGTCTTCTCTTTTCGCTGACTCGTTCCCAGGACATGTACGCGCGACATGCGAGCTTGCTGGTTGGTTCAATGCCCTTGTTGTCTCTCTCGCATAAAGTCGACGTTATTCTCGTTTTCTCGGCGTTCCCCTTTCGTTTGTAGCATTTTCATTATGGGGTACTGACTTGGGGGGCAAAGGGTAGGCATTGAGGTGTGATTGGGTGATGCAATGGGGTGATGCAATGGGTTGGTGGAAGACATGTAAGGCGTTTTGGCGGCTGCGGGACGGATAGATGGATCTGCTAAGTGAGTGAATGCATGAGTAAGGAGTAAGAAGGAACGAAATGGAGAACGTACCAAGTTAGCACGCATTCACGTCCCTGGAGAGCGGCGACGGGGAACTTCAGAGACAACGGGGCCGTGGAGCACGAATGTGGATTGTTGAGGGAGGAAGTCGGGATGGGGAGCGGAGCGAATTGTAAGGTGATCAGTTGGATGGCTCGAGGAGTCGTCGTCGGAGAGGTAGATAGGCAGGGCTTCGTGGGGAGCAGAGGCCGACGACGCTCAAAATTGGCGGCTGCGCTTGCGCGCTGGTGAAATCAGCGGCAAGGGTAATAGATCGGCGACGATCGTCGAGTCCAACCGCGCAAGCAACGCCATCTATAGGACAGGAACGTGTTCTATACTGGAAGGTTATCTCGATGCGAGGGAAAACGAGAGATTGGGAAGACTTACGCTCGAGTTGGAATCGGGTTTACGCAGGGCCTTGGTGTCTCTATGCGTGATGTCGTTCGTTGCCGTTGCCGTTCTCCGCGCGCATATTCTTAGGTCTCTCGTGTCCCGTTTCTCATTTCTTGTTTTTCGTTTCTCGTGTGTCGTGTCCGGTGCCTGGTTTCTCGTGTCTCGTATCTCGTATCTCCGTTTGCCGTGTCCCATCCCTCGTTTTCTCATTTCAATCCCCAGCGCTCACCTCGGGGTCCAGAGCAGACGCATGGGGTAGCGTAGCTGGATGGATTGGGATACCGAAGCTCTATGGTGGCGAGGTGACGGGGTGGCAGGGTAGCGCAGTGGACCGGGATGTGATGCTGGGATATGACGATGGCGAAGGGACGCCTCGCGTCCCACCTTCCCTCTTCGTTCATTCCCCATTTCGTGACTGCCAATCCCCGCGAGTCGTCCCCTCGTCTGTTGAGGAGTCGACTGGGGCAGGCGCTGGCGCAAAAAGCGTCAGCACGCATTCGTCCATTCGAAGGGCACGCACCTTGTTCATTCTATACGTCGGTTCCCTCTTGGTTTCTGTCTCTCGTTCTCGTTCTCCCTCTCGTTCGCCTCCCAATCTTCTCTGCCGCGTTCACTGACACGTTCCCAGATGAATATACGCGCGACGTTTGCCCAAAGGCCGTCGAGGCCGTCTGCGGTGATATAAGGCGGCTGGGTGGGAAAACCAAGGCAGCGCGAGCTTACGTGGGTGATTCAGCGCCGTTTGGGGCCGATACGACCTATTAGCAACCTACCCCTCGCGTAAAGTCGCTGCTCTGGTCGTTTTCCTCGTTTTCTCAGGCTTCCCCTTCAGTCTGTAGCATTTTCGTTGCGTGGTAATGATTTGGGGTGAAGGGTAGGCGTGAGTTGTGATTGGGTGGGGGAATAGGTTGGAAGACAGGGGAGGCGGCCGCGGGACGTATAGATCGATCGGCTAAGTGAGTGAATGCGTCAGTGAGAGTAAGGAGTGAGAAGGAACGAAACGGGGAACATGGAGGGCGTGCATACTTACCTTGCTCGTCGTTGCCTGGCCCTTCTCTCGGGCCCAACCACTGCCTCCCTCAGTCCTCGCGTTCCTCCTCGCACCTCCACCCATCCCAAATTCCAGCGATTCCGGGCTGCATGCCCGACGAAGTGCGCCGTGGTGGACCATCAGCTTTGACGCTCGCACTGGTGCTGCGGGAGCGAGGATGTGGATGTGGGTGCAGGGTGGAGGTAACGGGACGAGTGATGTCGAGGGGATCTGGGAATCCACCAACGGAACGTATACGGTATGAGTGGGATAGAAGGGAGGAAGGGGGGGAGGATGGCCAAGGGACGGCGGTGACGGAGAAACCCGACGCGCTACTCCAATGACAACACCACGACAATGGGAGACGAGGGTAGACACGGGACACGGGACACCAGTAGCCAGAGAGTCCCACTGAAGAATGCCCAGGTCAGTACAGGCATCTTCCAGCTCTGCGCGTGCACTCACCTGCGGGTTTAATCCGTAGATTCCGACAAAAGACGGCCAACACCATCTCCTACGTCCCTGCCCTCGTTCTGCACCATCGCGGCCGTCTATCTCCAGTTGCGAGTGTGCGCCCAATCACCGCGAACGACCAACAGAGGGTTGTCCATGCGACGCTGGACCTTTGGTGGGCGCAGTCGACTGTCTTGAAGATGGATGACAAGCAGGGCGGAGGACTGCCACGGCGGAACATTAGCGTGCTGGTTAGCATATGGCGGGCGGCGAAGGCGTTGGCAGCGTCGAGCAAGCAGAGACTGGGGCTAGGTTCGAAAGGCAGGCCAGATGGGTATAGCAAAAGGAGGACACGATGAGGGGCGAAGAGGGGCAGGTGTTCGATCGTGGCGACGGACTCGGTCGCTGGCGCTTGAGGAAAGCGCCCAGCCGCTGAAACTCCGTCGTCGGGACTTTCGTCGGACCAACCCTCTCAGTCAAAGCTAATCCAACGTCGCCTGTTGCTGCTGCCCCATCTACCCGTCTTCACGTCGTCCCACGTCAAGAACCTTTGCCAGCCAACCTGCGAGTCTCCGTCAACGACGTTCGAAACACGCAGAATGCAGGACTTACCTCCATGCCACGTCTCCAACCTCCGAACAACACATCACATCTACGCGCTTCTGGACTTGCAAGACGCGTCACGGTGCCCTGGGAGCCTGCCGCCCTGGATCGTGTATCAAGGTATTGTAAGGGTTGAACCCTTTCGTTCCGTGCAGTCCGACCTCCCCTATCTCCTATCGACCCCTCTCCGACTCTTCGGACACGCTCGCACATGACTCGGACGTCACGAACCCGTCCCGGACACACGTGATAACGGATCAGACAGCTCGGATCATTGTTTCGTATCTTTTGCTTTCGGACTCTAATACTTGGACTATACTAGCACCATCACTCGTTCCTGGTGCCTTTTCGTTTCGGACTTTTCCTTCATCTGACATTTTTCGTAGCTACAAAAGCCTCCTGTACTCGTAGTTAGAAGAATCAGATTTGTTTCCCCCCCACATCGAGTCAGATTCAAAGCCGTCCGAACTGTTCTTCTCATCCGTTGTCAGAGTCTGCCGCTGTCCGAGTCCGAGCCCGAGTCCGATCCGAAGTTGCTTTCTCCTGCCGTCCTTGTCATTCTCCTGCCGTCCTCGTCGTACTATCCGAAGCCAAGTTGTCTGTCCGCGTCCGAGCGGGTCCGAAGCCATCCAAAGCCATCCAAAGCCGTCCGAAGCGTCCGAAGTTTCTCAGTTGTTCGTTTTCACTCTCGGACTCATCCTTATCACACTTTACTCACGCGGGTGTCGCACGGACTTGTCCTGCCGGAGGCGGACCCTCGCATTTTACTAGACTACACTACTAGTCTACGCGTACATTCACTACTACAGTATCTAGGAAGTAACGACGTTAGTATCTACACACTGGGCACCATCAGCCGCTGCCTTCATCGTCGTTATCATCCTGTTCTCGGCGCTGCTTGCGCCATCGAGAGTCTTGTCCGCCTTCTTGTCGACCCCAATGACTGACTGACATCCTCTCTGCAGCTCCTCTCCACTTTCACCGTCGTCGATGTTCACCTGGAGCTGAAACTCCTCGACACGGCGCTACACGGACGTCGAGACGCGCTACGGCTGAGTTTTGGCTGGCGAACGAAGTAGGGGTTCGACAAGGGTCGGTGAGCGGGGCCTAATGGTGGCGATAGGGCACGAGAGGGACGTAACGTGAAGAGTGGACACTGTGAAGGGAGAACAAAGGTAAGTGGCTGGGTCCATGAGCACGAAGGGTATTCACTGCCTTCAGCGCGGGTTGCTCGTCGCCATCTACGTCGTCTACGTCAATCCGTCGTCGTCACGTCCCCCGTTTCTGACTTTGTCCATCCCTCTTATGGGGCGTCGTGACTCATGTCAGCGTCGTCTTGCGCCATCGTCGACCCCACACGAACTCAGGTAAACCTGTACCTCCATGTCCCCACCTCAGACGCGTACTCACAACACCCCAATCCCTGTAACCTACTCCTTCGCAGATCCCATCCTGCGGCACCGTCGCGACGCGCTGCAAACGCCCACGCCAACGACAATGCGAACACGGACGTCAATACGAACATAAACGCACTTGTACCGGGGAGGCGAGTACGCAGCTGCAGGGCCTGCACTGGCACTGCGGGAGCGTGGGCATGGGTGTGGACCGTGGATGTGGGACGTGGACATGGGTTTGGGATGGAGGTAAGTCCCTCCGCCGTCATCGTTTCGTGGTTCGTTCGTGATCCCTCCCTCCTTCCCCACTTTCTGTACCTACCCGTTCCCGCTCTCGCTTTCCTTTTCCGCGTTCTTTCCCATCCCCATTCTCCTGCTCCTTCCCCCTTTCCCCCTTCCCAGTTCCCGCCCCCCTCTTCGTCCCCGTCGCTTGCTGCCACCCACTAACCAACCAACCAACTCACCCATCCGCACATCCTCCTCCGCAGCCCGCAGCCCGCGCCTGCAGATACCCGCAACACAGGCGACAGTGCCCGCCACTATCTCGAACTCAAAGCGCGCCTCGATCGAGGCGGATGGCGCACGACAAACGAGATCGATCGCGTCGACGGTGCGTGGCCTCCATCTCCTCTTCCTCTGTTTCCCGTTTTATCGTTTGTGTGGTCTCCCCACTGCTTCTTTCTCTCCCTCTCCCACTTCGTCTTCCTTGCTCCCCCGACGCGTCGCTCGTCTTCCGTCCCCTTCTCACTTTTCATCCATCCGCTCGTCTCTCGTGCTAAACTGCGTATCCCTCCGCAGTGACCTCGCTACGCACACCAAATGGCCTTCGACACGTCGAATCGGCGGCGACTTGGCGGACCTCGTCGCTGGGAGTTGGTAGACGAGGCCAACGGCCAACTGGGGGTTTTGGCGATGTCATGCTGGGATGGTGAAAGACAGGGCTTGAGGGCGTAGGCGTTTCCTTACGTTGGTGTTTCGTTCGCGTCCCCTCCCGTGTGCCCTCTTCCTTTTCCTCGCCGGGAGTTGGAGTATGGGGTAAGGGGTACGGCGCGCGCGGGGAACTAGCACGGAATTGGCCTCGAGTTCCCTCCTAGATAGTAGGTGAAGGCCGCTCGCTGTCAAAGCTAACAGCCCTCGCAAAGTCTATTGATTTGGACGCCTCGCTCGTTCCCTCAGTGCTAGTTGACGTGACGAATCCCGAAGACGTTGAAAGAGTCGTGTAGAGTGCGAAAGTGGTAATAAATACGGTGGGCCCGTATTGGACCTGGGGACGCCCGTTGTTCGGTGAGTTTTCGGCGAATTTACTGGAATCTAGTTTTATCTCATTGGCTGTACGTTATAGGGCCTGCGTTCGACACGGAGTCCACTATGTCGATTTGACGGGAGAACCCCCTTGGGTGCGCGATATCATCTACGAATTCGACTATGCAGCAACCCGTACTGGCGCCATCATCGTTCCAAGCTGCGGCATGGATTCCATTCCGTCCGATTATTCGATATACCTCTCCTACAAGCATCTTGGATCGTTCACGGATGGGAGATGCTGTTCTCAACGTCGGCTTCCAACCTCCGCGGTCGCGTCACGAACGTTACTACCGCTGTCCCTGCTTTCGCCAACTCCCCATCAGCGTCGGCGTCGACATCCACAAACAACGGCAATATCGCGAGCGGGAGGGAACTGACGGTTGTAAAATCACAGTTAATCGGTCAAGGCTGCCCAGGGTACCTTCTCACCTCGAGTACGTATCTGATGCTATGCTTTTCCTCTCCCCGGATGATCGACTTGGGCCTCGATCCTTTCATCCTAATAGTAATAATATCCGAGCCGGTGCTCTCCATCCTCCTTGCGCGTGACCATCTTCCAGCTCTGGCGCAACGCAGAGGCGTGTTGACGCCTGTCGCGGCGTTTGGCAATGTCCTCGTCGAGAGACTGGAGAGGACCGGGAGGTTTGAGTTCCGGAGTGAGGTGCTCGGCGCAGAGGGCGGAGAGGATAGGAAGAGGAAGTAATTCGGCGATCGTAACAATCGTATCGGACAGGTGTTTTGTTATCGTATATTGCCATTCGCTAGAGTACTACTTGTTCATCCTGCTGAGTTGTCGTTCCCCGTATCTTGTCCCCTGTACCTATCTCCGTCTCCTAATAATAATGCCGTCTCGATGCCCGAGCTGGGCAACATATTCCACAAATGAGCCGTTGAGGGGCATACCGACGATGTGAACACGCCGGTGACCGAAAAGTCGGAGGACCAGAGGCTGTGGAGCACATCTCACGAGCGGTTTCAAATTGGGCTTCCATGCTAACGCCGATACCGCGGATGTGACCGTAATCTGCTCGGGAGGTCGGTATGCGATCAACCGGATCTGCTGTCTGGACTTCTGTAGGTGGACAAAGATATCCTGTGTCCTCCCCGTCGATCACCTCTATCATAGTGACTTACTCCATTCTTCACTGCACGCATCCGGACCACGCATTCCAAGAGAAGGGGAGCTCGTAGAATGTTCCTACTTTTTGAGAGGTGTGTATTCTGAAATGGCCTCCACAAGGGGACGAGAGGGCAGGCGAGTCTACAACCTGGAGCGACGGTTCGTACTTAGCGTCTTAGTAGGAGAGTCTATACGCACGAGATACACCAGAGCTCCGTCTACGGACTAAGGTCAGGTCCTTATCTAGATCAACACCGATCAAGATCTGCTCGCACAGACAAAACAATAGAGGAGGCTGGCGAGGGTTATGGGAGATAATTTGAAATCACAGGATAATCCTTCCCGCTAAATTCTCCCAACCCCAACTGTAGTTTACCCTAACTATAGTATAGTTTACCCTAAGTATACGGTAGTTTACCCTAACTAATTCTATGATAGTGGCCTGCAGGATGGCCTTCCTGAATTATTTGAACACCCCAGAGGCGGTCTGGCCTTCCAGGAAGCCCGCTGTGTGAGATAGAATGGTTAGAAAATTTATTCACGACACATAGACGTAGCTAACGTACCTACAGTCACTCCCAGCCATGCACAGGCAGCCAGGCAGCCCACAACAACATATGGGGTGCGTAGCCACATTGTAAGTCACTCAGCACGGCCATCCAGGCCGCCCACACTTGCTTGGGAGTAACGAAACACTCTCAGTACAAGCATGGGCTGCTTGGATGGCCACGCTGACGAGAAGGAGTCCTGTGCGTGAGAACAAGTCACTACAGTCGACCAGGACTCACCTATGTCAGTGTGGGCAGCGAGGAAGCCCGTGTTTGTGGTGGGGTGTATGCTATAAGTGATAACACGTAAGTTATCACATGATAAGTACGTACTACACTCACCACGGCCTGCGAGGGAGCCCACACATGTGTGCGGGACTCACCCACATCAGCAGGGGCCGCCAGGACGCCCACGGTTGCGAAGGGGATACGTACCTACGTATAAAGTATGTACCCCAGTCATGGTGGGCTGCGAGGACGCCCACGCATGGAGGCCACACAATATGGGCCTCTCCCTTCACCACGGGCAGCTTGGAAGCCCATGATATGAGTAAGTACGCAATGTATAAGCTACGTATGGAACTCACCTACAACGAGGGCTGCTTGGATGGCCACACTTACGATGAGAAGTCCTGTGGGTGAAAGCAAGTCAGCACGATGGTCCAGGACTCACCACGACGTGCGATGCACACGAATGGACTCCTGCACATCAGCATGGGCTGCCAGGATGCCCACGGTAGTGGAGTGAACATCTATTAGTCAAGAATAAGTGAGTCAGTACGTATTCATATGGCCACACTCACAGTGGCCTTCCAGAAACCCCGCATGTACGATAGACATACAGAAGACTCACCTAAATCAGCGTGGGCTGCTTGGACGGCCATGCTTGCGAGGGTGAATCTTCTGTATCAAATTGACACAGTGACACTCACCACTGCCTGCGAGGAAGCCCATAGACACAGGGGAGTACAGTAATACTCCCCCACATCAACACGGGCAGCCAGGACGCCCACACTCACACTGGGGAGTCCTGTGAATGAGTACAGGTAAGTTAGATATCAAATAAGTTGTTGTGCACTCACCGTGGCCAGCAAGGAAGCCCACACATGTAGATGACTATGATGTGAGACCCCCACGCCAGCATGGGCAGCCAGGAGGCCCGCGTTGGTGATGGCAGTGCGTATCTGTCAAGGTACGTACATCAGTACATGTTCTATATGTACCACACTCACGGCGGGCTGCTAAGACGCCCACACATGTATGTAGACAATACGGGGAACTCTGCACTCACCCATGGGCGGCCTGGAACCCCGCGACATACTCTGCCAACGTATAATGGTCAGTTAGTTGACGCTAACACACGTAGGACTTACCACAACCAGGTGTGCAGACGAGGTCAATACAGTGCACCCACGACAGTCTGGGCTGCCAAGACGCCCACACATGTATGTAGACAATATGGGGGGTCTCCCTTCACCACGGGCGGCCTGGAACCCCACAACATACACAGGTATGCATCTCATCGTAAAGCGTGCATACCATATTCTTCGCAGTTCAAAGTTTGTTTCGTTTATACTTATTCTCATTCATCTACAGTGTGGCGCTCCCAGACGCCCATCATGCGCTACTACTTCACTGGCACCTCCACTTCCACAGCGGGCTTCCTGGCTGCCCATATGGTGGCCTAGCGTCAACATTCTCACTCGAAGACACTATTTATCTCGACAATATACACTCGTTCTGTGATTCGAACAATCTTGTGTGCTGGCGCAGACTACGTTATATGGTACGGTCCTCCTTCTCACTGGGCTTCCGCACTGCCTGTGCTATGTACTGCATGTATTCTATTCAATATACTGTATTTCATTTGCGCGTTAAACATACCATGATCATTGAGATGTATGGGGACGTGTCTGGAAGACTCTGTGCCTCATTTCCCTGCGTTCTTTGCTCACAAGGTGAGAATTAGATCACACTTGATCAGGTATTCAGTATGACTCACCTCGCATCCTCTGATTGAGCTGGATATAATTCCTGCACATTGTGTACAGGGCATAGGCGATGCCAGCGAGGATCTGTGCGATGTTGATAAGTTGTAGAATGTTCATGATTGCGGTTAAAGTTGCTGCAGAGCTTCTTACGTTAGTACATGAGGCTTTAAGTATGCATGAACGTGTGTGTGACCAAAGTTAAAATGACAATTGAATCATGGGTACGTGAAAACAGTAAAAGTAAAGTAAAAAAATGAGTGCAAGAGTATGTATGAAAGTACGAGTGTATACGAGAGATGCAAGACGACCTACTTGTGACCACGAGCACGACCACCTCCTCCACAGCCACGAGGAGGGGGAAGGTTCACCTTGGGGACGTGCTCTTCTGGTTGGGCCGTCGCGGACATTGACATACACACTTGTCGCACCGCAAGGGGGTCCTTATCAGACGACAGCTGTTGGTCTGACTCAGACAGGTCAGACAAGTTGGCGATTAGCGACATGAAGTCTTCGCCATCGTCTGGGACATGCGACGGTCCCCCCTCTTCTTGATCCTCGCAATCGCCCCGATGTTGAGATCGTCCTCAGAGTCAGTCTCCGGGACTCAACGCCCCCTCCCTGCATCCCTTCGTGCTGTCTTTTTGTGCCGCTTCTCAGTTCGTGGTGATTTGTCCAGCAACGAGTGGGGTTTGTGCTTAGCTTCAGCCCGTGGTGGCGTCAGGTCTGCCTGCGTCCAAGGGGGACCAATGTGTGGACCAGTCTGGAAGACGTGGCCTTTGAACACTTCGACTTGCTCGAACGCTTGCGCGTCTAGGGTTCCTCCCAGTCATCTACCTCCATTGGCGCGTCCTCCGTACCCATGGGCAGCGAGGAAGGCCGTCAAGGAGCATCCTCAATTTCCATGGACTCCCCTTGCGATTGCAGCACTGGCAGCGTCCTCTGTGTTGCAGGCGGTCCTACGTTACCTGGGTGTCTTCTGTACATCAATCATCGCATTGTTAAGATTGCAGCCAAAGAGAGAGAGAGAGAGAGATGCGCACATATCAGAGTACAGCAGGCACACTCCCCAAGCGGCGAGGCGACACTTTCCGAGCTCTGCCTGCGCCGAGGGAGAAATAGGGCAGCCGTAGCACATTGTCAATCGCACTTGGATTGCACTACTGCTTGCTACTTCAAACAATCGTGCCTGCCAGTAGATTCTGCGAAAGAATACGACCCGCTTACCTTCTGAAGTTGAGCGAACACACCATATCGGAGAATATAAGATTCAAATCTGGGGAAGTCCGGTGACGACGTGAGTGCGTTGAGTGCGTGAGCTTCTTATAAGAGGCAAGAGTCCGTTGGTGGTTAAGTAGTGAATATATCGTAAACCGTTGTGGGAGGTAGGTCGAGGTCGCGGGACGACTCTGTGAGTGTCAAAGGCCTGCTGCCCCAGCAGCCGATCAAAACTAATCGAGACCCATCTGGAGGACCAGTGATCCATACGGCCTTATTGTGGTAGAGACGCGTGGGTGGTGGTGTTTGATTGACACCCAGCTCTTCAAAGAGGTCGACCGTGAAAGCCGTCGGGGGCATAACGACAGGAAATTGGCGTTTTCGGGGACTATATCATGCGGCGCACGAAACCGCAGGAGGTTTGGGCTGGAGTGGTCATGCAGCCGCGATGTGTGCAAGTGGATGGCTGCTGATGATAACCGTAGCCCAACGTGGAGTAGGAGGGACGTCTGGGGCCTGCACTCATTGTCACTTTGTCTCTTCCTTGCCCGTATTTCACGCCCGTAATCTCGCGGATATTCAGTTGCATGCAAGGTCCAGATACCCATTGCAACGACTAGTGGCGAGAGACGGCGAATCCATGTGGGTCCGGTGGTTCAATTCGGCCCGTTGTCGTTGACAGCGAGACGTGCTACAATCAATTTGGTAAGGCGTCGAGGATCTACGCGTTACGTGCTTTCCCCATTGCCAGATCTATGTCGCCGCTTGGCGACTTCGCGGTCCGCACCGGAGTTCTAGCTCAACTCTTTATCTCTTGAGCGCCGTCCTAAATCGCTCATTGTCTTGTATAGCTGTATGAGGGCTGATGTTAGCGCGAAGGATGAGATAAATATTGGGGTACGCACCGACTCGCTGACAGCAAGGTCAATAGTAAGTCCTCCACGCGAAGTTTGATGCGCAGGAGGCCACGGGCGGACCTGACCACTGCCACTGGTATCGGTAATAAGGCGTAGGGGTGAAGACCCGCCTCCTGGAGAGTACGCCTGAAGCTCAGAGGGTTTGAAGCGATGGAGTGGGAAATAAGAACAAGTACTCACATTATCGAGAGATCAGCATCATCGCTCAAAATCCCGTCACTTCATGAAACCTAAGGCTGGAGCGAGTCCCGTCTGTCGGTCTATATTCAAGCTCAAGATCGAATGACTTCGTATTCTTGCAACTTATCTGTCCTTGATGATTTTACTGATATTGGTTGTGATTGTGCTGTAGCTTGCAGTAACGTCGCGGCCAATGTCGCGGCCTGAAGTCCTTCAACCATATCCCATATCCAATCGAAAGTTAGAATCTTATAGACACTTACCTGGTTCAATGAGGCCGCCATCCCGGGAAATTCGAGCTTGGTAGCGGAATAGAGGAAGTCGGTAAATACGCGTATACAACACAGGAAAGGCTTGGACGCTTGTCTGGGAAAGCATCCACAGTGTCCTGACACAATCGAAGTTGTTGCTTCGCAATTCGTGATCCTGTATCCCTTCTGTGTTCCAACTGAAACACATCTGTGAAGTGCTTTTAGCTCCGATCTTATCTGTTTCACACTCCACTAGTAAGCGACACATGAGTAGTCCTGGTTCAAGTTGGCGTAGATTGGATTAGCGTTAATCAATATGCATGCAGTATTCCCAGTGCGCCGCAGATGTAAAATTGATTTCCTTTCTTCTGCTTTTATAATTAGTCTCTAGAATAACTGAAGAAATGTGCTCCAGGCCCACGAAGCATGCCCCAGAGTATCACGACAGCCTAGAAGCATCAGCAAATCGGTAGGTCGATGATAGACATGGCACCAGGTCCGTCACACTTCCCACACCACAGCTGGCACTAGTGCCAATTGCTCTCGCACGATACCATTACCATATTTTGTGGGGCCATTTCTATTAGTAACCATGTCATGACAGTGCTGAGTTTATGTGGCCGCCAAGGGAAGGAAGAGTGCATTTGATCGAACAGTGATGGTCTTTGAGTTACGTTACAACAATGTTTGTGAATGGACAATTCAAGGCGGTTTAGGCTCTCAATAGCTGTTGCACGCGCAGGACGGATGTGACATGCTATATCAGGGGACCCTCAAGCCCATTCCTCCTTGCTGTCCGGGGTATCACTCTTCTCGTCGGTGCTGGCTACATCTGATTCGATATTCTTGAAGGATTCAACACCGATCTTCCGGATGACCGCCCACGCGAAGGGGATCGCGAGGACAACTATAAACCCGACGTCAGTATTGATTAGGTCAACTGTCGTAGGACATGCATCGTACGTACATAGACCGACGTTGAGCCCAATAGAGAGCCAGTCCATCGTATCGCTCGACTTGATGCCATACGCGACGGCCTGGCCCGCGCACTCGACGCCCCTTAGTGTCCCCGTCATATACGAGAGGACGATGACTGCACGCACGGTGGATCAGGGGTGTGCATCCGGAGAGAGGGCATTTGACTGACTTTGTCCGATGATCCAGAAGAGGGTGGTTTGCGTCGCCATTGTCACGAGGGTCGAACAGGAGGAACAGTGTGCACAGGGCGACCCATAAGGCGAGCATGCGGCCGCGCCGTGCGGGCTTGGGGTATGCTGGGGCGCGTTTTGGTTAGTGCAATTAGTTGGAGGAGCAGATGTGTACAGACAGGTGATGATGGGCCCTTCGACTGCGTACATTAAGCTGTCAGTGATCCCTGATAATATCGATCCTAGAAATGTGTGAGCAACGAAGCAGGGCGATGAATAGTGAAGGTGGCATACCAAACATCAGAAACCACTGTGTTCCGTTCTTGGAGTTGAGGTATAGGTTTCCCGCGTATCTGGGAGATGGTCAGTAATTTACCAGGCATAGATGAACATATGTACACGATGTCGCCTGTACTCGAAATCTGACGAGATCTTGTCAGCTTCCTGGAATACGTTACCGTAGCGAAACGTGCACACCAGAAGAGACATGCGTACTCCGATCTTGCCGACGATGCACATGAATGCCATGAAGACTAATACAACAGTGTGAATGAGGTGGCTTGCGGCAGCTTTTGAGATCACATCGTAACCTGCGGCAGCCGTAGCATTGTCATACCATGGAGTTGCTAGCCCTCCGGCGCCCAACGTGCTGAGTACATTGTACTGCAGCCTGCATGGTATAGGGTTGACGATGTATAATGAGGTAGGTTCGTCTCTCTGAATGTCACCTCACCATGCCATGCGTCTCTACGCCATGCAGGCGAATATCTCTACCTTTGCTGTCTTCCTCTTCGGAAGCATGGCTCTACTCCTCGCATGAGCTCGTGGAACCTTGATAGCATTGTGCTATATTTTAATCCCTATTTTTCGCATGTATCGCCTTGCCCTTCGTACTTGCACGCAGATGACGCAGAGGACAAGCTTTTGCAAACCCTCCATGAGCCTGTTATTGCTTTGTTGAAATAAGCCGGCAAGGGTCGCGTCAAATACGATAGAACAAGTAGATAGTATTGCGTTTGACTGGGACTCCAGCTGTAACAGAAATATACCCGATACGGTAAAGCCACGTCTAGCGCTGGTTAGTCACACTCCTTTATAGCTACACTCCTTAGTATATTTACTATCATTAGTCTAACCTTAGTCACTCCTTTATTTAGCCTATATACTCTGACAGAGTCAATGGTAGTCTACTATATAGTTACGAGCCCTATGTACATTGTAGGGCAGCGTTGCACAATCAGGACGACTTACCCCTGTCATTCCCCTGTGCGACCTCGTGTGACGCGACACTTCCCTTACCGGTTGTCTCTCGCCACACCAGCAAACGCATGAAGAAGAAATACAAAATGTGCGACAGTAATCTAAGTAGTCACGTGTGACCCCTATACCCCTGTACCACCAAGATTGCCAAAATCTAACATGCTTGTCATGTCATTCTTTGGCGCTGTCGTATATCTGTTTCTTTCCATAATCATCGGTGATGCATGTAGTGGTATATGAAGTCCTTAAATAGATACAAATGCAATAGAGAGCATGACGAACATACTGATGGCGACAGTATGGTAATGCAATAGTCCATCGAATCGAATCGTAGATAATAGAATACACTTAACAACAAAGGTATGTGTTGGTGGATGCACACGATGTTCTGTTCGAAGGGGTGGCACGATCGTCGTCTGTTGTCCCCATCCCCGTCCCGGACTAGCAGTGACCCCTTGGCCGGTTTGCTCCCTCATCCCTAGCGTTGCGTGTGCTTCCGCGAGAAGTCTGCTGCTATCGGATTCACCAAGGTACACTCGCCATCTACTATTCAAGCTGCGCCTCCCAGCTGAAAGCATACTTGTGACAGAACCGATAAACCCGCGTCCATGCACTCGCTTCCTCAGCTAGTATCATCTTTCTCAACATTTATCATTGGCCCAAGAATGACTTACCTGTGTGCATCCGTCTCTTTGAAATAAAATGCCATGCGCGAGTCTGCAAACCTCACAAACTTGAAGCTCAAAATATCTAGGCGAGAGACTTACGATCGCGAGAAGTAATTCACCGTTCTACGTTTACATTGCCCACTCGTTCCATGGGTACTTCAAAGAATGAATCCAACGACACAGCAAATCCAATTGAATTGGGCTACGAATCTAAATGAGCCACTTTATACAAGGTAGTTTGGAGGGGACAATAACTACAAGATGATGGCATGCAGTAGTGCAAATGCGGTGGGTATGTGGGGATGCTAGGATGCTGGTATTAGACAGACATACTGTGCGAGTATAAGAGGGGGATGGGGGAGGCGGGGTCATAGGTGGATATATGTATGCTTTTGTAAGTTGAATGAAAGTAACCTGTACAAATGGCCAAGAAGATTTTTATTTTTATATGACAAACAGTTTGAATGAGGCGAATAAAACACAAATTAAGCATAAAGCGTAAGTGGGCAAACAAAGAGAGAGCGAGAGAGAGAGAGCAATAAAACGGGGATGAAAGTACGAGGGGAGCAGGATCTTGGAGAAATGCAAATATCAAGCAATGTGCCGCAAATAAGGTAGGGTCGATATGAAGATATGAACAAGTGGTATAACCGGCGATTCTTGATCAGCAATCAACGAAGACGGGGATGGAGGATATTCTATGCCTGTTTTTGTAGCCGCAGGCTGGGGGATGTCGAGCATGATCACCTTACATGATCACCTTACATGCCATAGCCAAACGAGGACCTCTGGTACGGATCAGCAATAGGGCCAGCAAGGCCAACAACGGCAAAGGGGCCTACGCCTGCAGAGGAGTTCGAGAAACCTCCGAGATGGGCAGGCGCAGGTAATCCAGAAGCATGGGGGGAACCCCCTTGAAGGACGTAGCCGCTGGCGAAGGACACGGAGGGCAGTCTCGGTGTGTACTGTGCAAATGCACATAATGAGCTGCGTTAAAGACCCCACACCCAGTAGCACCAGGGGTGAGGCAAACTGGGTGCAGGGTCTTGCAAATGCTCTGTGGCATCTGGGGGAAAACATGGCATGGCGCTGGGCCGGAACGGTAAGCGGTAGCGACACAGTAACGCAGTACGAATGACAGAGGCCTGCTGGTACGCAGCGGGTGCCAGCTTGATATCCGTGCAAGGATGGGGGGCATTGCACCTTCTTTGCGTGGCGTGCCTCTTCCTAGCCATACTCCCCTCTCCGAGCATGATTCCACTCTGCCTCTGCAACTCTGCCCCCGTTTCCCGTCTCGCTTCCTCTCCTCCATCATCCCCTTGCGCCGATTTTCAATATTGGCACCTATACTTGGACCTCAGCGTATCAGAACGACGAGTCTCGGTGGCCAGTACTTGGATCCCGATGGGTGAGACGTTATGGGGCTAGCGCATTCTCTTTGAACGTCTTGAGCTTCGCGAGACGCGCATCGTCACCCATAAGAAGATGGAAGACGAAGACCGTCTGTGTGTCTCCGCCCTGCGCCAGGAACAAACATGTCCAGACAGCTGGACAATTGGCGATCGGATACGAAGGCGGAAGTCAACACATCTCCGGTTTATCTCCTCATTGCGCGCTGATGTTCCAGGCAAGCGGGTAAGAGGCGGGTGGACGGGTGGGTGTATATTCGTCATTGGTTGTGAAGATAGTGTCCTAGGCAGCGGCTTTATTGGAGCGCGCATTTCCTGTACCCGCAGTAACTTCAATGAGAGGTCAGACAAAAAGAATGGGCGAAACGCACCTGTCTGCCTATAGCCGCCACGTCGTGGGTCCTCAGCCTCTTCCACGGCCCAAATACCTAAACATGTATGGCCAAACAGCGGCGGGAGTAAATAAGGAGCCTTCGTCCATAAGCGCGGTTAGCGAACGACGAACGAGGAGTGCATCGTGACGAGCAATCTCAAGTCTTTGTAATGAGGGCACTGTAGCGAATGCGAGCAGCGGAGACACGCTGCTGTGAAGGGTATAGTGAGCGCACGTGCAAATGCTCTCCATGGATACAAGATCTAACCTTGCTGGAGGAGAGGAACACACGTCGAAGCGGCCGCATCGGGGAGCAGCGGAGAAGAAAAGAAGGATGAACGTATTTCGATGCAGACTGAGACGACGAACGGGGACACATAGATCCAAGGTCGGATCCACGTGTTTGGATGGGGGTTTTCTGAAGCAGTGATGTGAATGGCAAACTTCAAGATGGATGAAAATGGTAATGCTTTCCGTTGACCTTGTTTGTACACCTGCTGCCGTCAAGCGCTTCCCGCGACACCGCTGTTTACATATTGCAAATGTAGAAATGACCACTGGCTGTCAACACTAATGCCCGTTGGAATGCCCAAGTATCTGTTCTCGAGAGTCTATAGCCCCCGACTAAGGTGGCGACTGATGCGGGTAGTGGGAAATAGAGGGAGACCCTGGCTGAGAGTGATGCCCGAGCAGACAGTGACGGCGCTGGACGCTGAGTGGGGGTAAGGAGGTGGCAGTAGACAAGGTCGATCGACGGCTCGGATGTGCATTCTAGGACTGGGAACGATAAATGACCGTAGAACATCCTCGTTCAATAAGGATTGACGGGGAAGTCTAACGCAAGAAGATGGTGAGACGAGGACATAAATAAAAGAATCAGATATAGGATGCCATGGTGATAGTCACTGCATATCTCTCGCCATTGCACGCGTTGCGTTCTCTGACTTCACAGGCACTACACAGGATATCATTTCGCGACAAGAGTGACGCAGCAGGAAGTGGTGAACGAGAAAGCAGCAAGAGGGTGAAAATACCGATAAGGGGATGCACCACGGTGACTCGACATGTTTTCTCTCGAATATTAAATGTTTAACGTTCCATATTCCGTCGCATGAAGAATATTGAAAACGTACCGAATTCTGTGGCTACGCTGCGTATGCGCGCTGCCTGAACGATCCTTTGGAGAGCCCAGCATTCTTGGGAAGGCGGTCAAGGCCCATCTCCCTGACCAGATGAAGTGACATGGGCGCGTCCGCGACATCCCGTGAAAGCCAGTAGCATTGAACTTGAAAGCGAAGAGGTCGAGGTGCAGAGACGCTAGGTACGCGGGCAATGCAGGACATGTAGATCAATCTAATCCCTTCCAATACCTCAACAGCTTCCACTTCAGCGATCCTGCATCCGCGGCTCAAAGCCACGATCCGTCTTCCCGTTTCAGGTGCCCTCAACTCCGCGCAGGGAATATCAGTCCCCGATGGCACGAGCGTTGTATCTGCCAGGAACGGCCTCACAATCAGGATCAGTGGTGTGAACCAGGCCATCATCATCAATCACATTAATGCCATTATGCAGGACTACTTTGGCATCGTCAACGGCGGAAATGCAGCAATCAAGGCAATTATGGTCCGTGCTCGATGACTGTCTCGTTATTATGCTACTTGCACTGATGTTCCTACAACATCCCAAATTGTTAGGGTTACGGATGCGAGGCTGAGAAAGAAGCTAACAGTGTCATATAAGGTGAGACTTCTGAGGTATAGCCGCCTTTCATGCTCCATCCCGTACGACCGGGGTGTTGACAAGCACCGCCAGCACTTGGCAAACATTTACAACCCGGATATTCTCTCTCGTAGCCTGCAATCTGGACACTGGAGCATCTCGCGGCGTGGAAACAAATTAAAAATATTTCCTGGCTGCGTCCCGACGTCGCTTATTCAGGGGGTATTGCATATGGAATCCGTGTGGCAAATTGGACGGGCAATTCTGCATAAGACTGGCCTTCGGTGGGGACAAATCTGCGCTTCGACGACTACGACGAGGACACAAAGGGAGGGCAGTGAAGCCGGAGGTCATGCACATGAGAACGAGTGGAAAACGACCGACCCGCCAGGTTTCCAGTTGTGAGTTGGAGGTGTTCAACGAGGAGGCAGCGCTGCGAGGTCTTCCTATTCGCGGGTTTGTATAACTGCGTGTGATCTTGAAGTCTGGGCGTGATGAATAGAGTCGTGGGCGTGAGCGCGGGCTCAAGTACGTGAGAGCGCAGAGGGACGCAAGAGAGGGAGGGACGAAGACCGGTGACGAAGTGTGTCTTGGTTGTGAATGTGAATGGAGTATCCAAGCCCCGAGATTCGAGAACTGTGGCAGGATTCGCGATCGTCGACGAGATGTGGCACGTCTTCCCGCTACGACCAGGTACCAAATGACGCACGGCACGCCAGGGTGATGTCAAGTACTGAATTGACTAGGGAGGTTATGTTGGTGTCCACGACGGGTCCTAGCAGGCTAGCACCACACGCCGAATGACTTGCTACATTCGACTGAAACGCCGCTTTGCAGACGCCAGGCGTCGCGAACCAAGTCCAGCGACCATTGCGTACTATGCAACGCCTCCTCGCTGCTCGCTGCGCCATGCATTGTGGTGTAGTTCCCGAGCAAGCAGCTCGATGAGCCTACGAAGCTTGGCTATTGAATGCATCTCAGCTTGGGGGAAAAGGGACATCTTTGTATTTGCGGGCACGCTGAACGCAAAGGGCGAGCGTGGGTGCCGCCATACCAGCTATGACGGAGGCTTGAGTAGAAACGAAAGAGTCAAAACCGTGGTCTCACCTGCGTCTCCCTACTCAGAAACACCTCAAAATCCAATCTGACCACATCTTTGACCGCCAGTAACCCAGCAGAACTCAACGAAAGCCTTAAGAACCCCATTCAACCATAGTAGGAGTGCTCGGATATTCCATTTTAGGCGCGGTTCAGCAAGACTCGTCGCGCGACGAGAACGGGGTCGGTAAAGATACCAATCATGCCTATAATGCTTCGGGTAATGAACTTGGTAACGGCGGGAATAAACACATGGATAAATTTCGACCTGTAGCCCAGATTTATACGAACATGAGCCGTGTACACGTCCTAGCTCAATGTGAGTGTTGCGTTAGTATTAGCAGCAGATACTGAGAGTACCAGGTTATGTATGCCACCATTTGTTGACCCTTTCAACCCTACCAATAGCCCCTCAACCGGTCGACGAAGAGGTGTACTTGACGTGATATTGGACGATTTGGAGGGTAGATTGGCCTCAGAGATGATATCGAGCTTATTTAGCAGAAAGGCAGCTAGACATCTCAAAGTACGGCCGGCGGCATCATCTTCAACACGGATCGCTCGAGCTCTGACTTGACAATATGCTCGTTGAAACTAAGGAGAAATGTGACGGTCACAAAGTCACTGTGCTCGCATCGTTGGGCCGGTCTCCCGCTCGAGGCCAACTCATATCGCCATGTGCATCCGTCTTTCTGTTTTCCTCGTGCGAGAGGATGGGTACTTTGGCGTAATCGTGCAATGACAGTGGTCTGGATAACTTACAGTAGATGAAATAGTCAAAGTTTCATTGTTTTCCATGCTGTGACCCAGGAGTTGCACTCCCATTGGTCACTAATCTCTCAGACACAAAGTAGCTATGTACTTAGTACACCGCACTCGCCGTTAGTCTTAGGACGTGCCGGCCCAGGACTTGTGAGTTGGACAGTATCTCAATGGGTGAGTGATAGGAGTATAGGAGTAAGGTTCACACGGTCCGTTTGTCCACATCCATTCCTTCCTTTACCATCTCATTCAACTTCATTTTGACGCCAGAACCGAGTCGACTCTGTTGTCTGGTCGCCAGTATGCACGATAATGGCCGCCAATTTGCATGCAAATGTCTGAATATGCGCATTCGCGAACAGCCCGCGGCTCCTCCTTCACCATCCGAATGGCCGGTTGATTCGAACTGGGAGAGAGTCTACGTTGGAGACAAGGGCATAAATATTGTGGGCTTTCGCTATGCGCTATGCTGATTTGACGTGCTGATGGTCTCTGGAAATGCTAGGCTCACCCCCAGCTCACATCGAGAGTCAGGTCGCGGGGTCCAGTCACAAATGAATCATCAAGACCACCGCAATATATTTCGCTGATGTGCCTCATATGCAAGGCCTACATCTACCGTATCTATCAGAACACGCCAAGCGAATCCGACAAAGATGCGCCGAATGTGGTGCCTGAAGGATGGATAGAACAAGAAGTCATGAGAAGCTTGAGCGGCTGGATTGAAGTTCAAAAGGAATGTCTGGTGAGGAGACCATTTCGCGTTCACGGGCATCCCCATAGGCGCAGGTCGGCACGGTGAGGCTCTTAGGCTCAGACAGTGCACTCCGTGTCGACCCCTAAGGGGGAGTTTACTCTGAGCTGAGCGGTGGACTTACCATTGTTTTTTTGTGCTAGACTGGCCGGTCCATACATCGAGCAGAATCCACGTCAGACTATTTGTCCCTTTTCTCTGTCGTCCTACCCCCAACGACGCTCCCACCATCACCCAAGGCCGCCGCACAACGTTTGACACCGATTACGACACCATCTCCACAGCTACCAAAGGAGCATTTACCCGAACGCAGTCCGCTGTTCCCACCGCCACCATTTCCACCTTTACATCCCGTATTCACCCATCTATCGGCAGTGGCGTCCACCCAAGTTGATAAATTACGCGTTGAGGCAGAGGAATCCATCGCCAAGTTCGTTCATAATAAAGTGGCGGAGCTCGATCATGTAGAGTCTGTTTTGAGGGAGCAGGTAGGGTGTCTGTGGAAAATGTATCAAATAGGCTCCAGCAAACTCCGCCAAGTAGCTGACGTGCTCCCTACGCCGGTCCCACACAATAGCGGCAAGGAAACATCTATGCACCCACAAGCGAGCACACCAATACGCGATTTCGTACCTTCGCCGGTACCTCCGACACGACCCATGTCCGCTACAGCGACTAAACAAATCTCGTCATTATCTGCATCTCTTGCGACCTCTACGTTCCACCATCCACATGCGCTCGAGGATAACATGAGCGAGTCGATGTTACAGAGTGTCGTATCGAACCCTCCTCCCGCTTCAATCTTTGTTGCGAATCCGCAGACCGTCAACAGCAGTAATGTTCTGCAATTCCCTCGGAATACCAATGACGACATCAACACGGCCGCCAGCTACCGCTTTTTCTTAAACCTGGAGGAAGAGATGGCCCGCAAGAAGCAGCGACAGGAACACGTGAAGAATGAATCAAAGCCGTCACAGCTCGCACCTGCTGTTGCAGCACGCGACAAGCCTTCTGCTGATCAGGGAGGGGCAGCGGGGAAGGGTGTCACCGGTGAGACACATGGCCAGGATAAGGATAAAGGCAAGCGTAAGGAGAGGAGGAAAGTTACGTTTGATGTGCAGCCAGCCGTCGTGACAATAAAAATCGATGTGAAGGCAGAGAGTGAAGAAGAATGGGCTTGTTCTTGTTCTCGAAAGGACAACGACGCAGGTTAGTAACGTCTGCGCATTGATTGCAGTCATTTGACCATCAAACCATGGACCGCAACACTTTGTCCATCACTAGATATGGTCTTTGAACTGGAAGAAGGCAGCCAGGCTTTGGATTCGGAGTCGAGACCTGTCCTGCCGCTGATCAAGCAGCCATCCCGATTCAAGCAACATCGTACAGCACGTCAAGCCAACCTTTGTCTCGGTGGTCTACCCGTGGCGTTCGCTGGGCTGAGACCCGCGTCGCTACCTGCACCATCAAGTGTCCGTCCCCCATTAAGAAGTTACCATCAGGGCGTCAATTCTTCGTCGTCTCAGGCTGCCATGCTTTCGCCACCCCCTCGGGTCAGCAAACCTAAGGCTGCGCCGCCTCCACCAGAGGAACCTGCCACTCCGCGGGAAGCAGAGATACTTTCCTTGCTAGTCGCTGATATGCCGAGCCATGGAGGCGCTTGGAGGCGCGATGGGAAAGCCTGGAAGTCATTCGTTAATCGCATGCACGCCGACGCCGATGACAAAGTTGACGACATCCTCGAAGAAGATGAAGACTACGTCGAGGATTCTGGGATGAATGGCCGTAGTGGTACGTCAAGTTTCATCTTCATCACAAATCCATCCTTACCCATATTCTTGTAGATGCCTTCATAGGTTCGATGCCCGTTGCAATCAAACGTGCTAGGCCAGCAAAACAAGTACTGAGCCTTGCTTCTTACCAACCTACGGCCGCCATCCATAGTCGAAGGCAGATCGAAGCTACGATACAGACGAATCTGACGAACGTAACCCCGTTGGCGCAGAAGGTCGAGCCAGGAAACTAGCGTCAGAAACTCTGAAAGCCCGCAATAGCATGCCGGAGGAGGGCATGTGGAGAAGTCTTGCATAAACCAAAATAATCCTGGTAGCAATCCACTATCCAATGTTCAATCATTCAATTTTTAATGCTCAACCCTTGTTGCTTGCAATTCGGCAAACCGCCGCCATTGCATCCATACTCTATGATTTTTTTGTTTGCTCAATTTTGTCATAATAATGTCTGTGGCTCTTTCCGTCGAATCGATGTATCCATTTTCCTTGCTTACTCGATACCAGTCTCAGTGGGTTTTCGATTTGTCTATGCACCACCATTGTCGTATATATATGTAGTATATATGTATTCAATGGACTGCCAATAGCGTAGTTCTCCTGTATATGTAGCCTGTTTTAGTGTCTTAAACTACCTTAATATGTCTTAATCTTAGCATCATTCTCAGTGACCAGTGAACACGGATTAAGGAGACGTTTGAACGTTTGAACAATCATATCCTTGTAAACCTTGCTTTCTGGTGGTAAGTGTCGGACGACCCTGCTAACGACAATCACAGCAGTGGTCAGAGTCCGCACCCTATCCACTGACTCCGGACCTATCTATCAAAGCCTCAGCCAATGCAAGCATTGGCTGAGCTTTGATAGATGGGGGGCAGGCCCAGAAATTGGCGAAATCCCCCAAAAAACCGAGCACCTGACGGTTTACCACATTTATACATGAAGCTCATATGAGCTTTATATGAAGTCATATGCTTTATATGGACTTTATATAAGCTTCATATAGAGAAAATGTAAGTATATGTTTCATAGGAATGGCAGGAAAATCTTTACATTTATTCTACTTGCTTTACATTTCCTTTACATTTCCTCTACATTTCTTTTACATTATCTATATATAGTATGTGAGCTTGATATAAGATTTATGTAAATATTTATATGCAATGCACATGAAGTTCACATGAAGTAGATTTGATGGAGACATAATTATGAAAGATACATATGCTTCATATGAATTTACATGGATTTATATGAATTTGTATGAATTTGTATAAATTTACATGGATTTATATGGATTTACATGAATTTATATGGATTTATATGGATTTTCTGCAATTTATTGGAGGTTTTCTGAGGCAATTTCCGCTTTGGGACGTCCAAAAATGAGTTAGCAAGGGTTATCCGATGATAACTCATTTTTTCCCGGACGGGCGCTTATTGGGCGCTTTACCACGAATATTAATATTCTTTTTATTTTATTTTACTTTTCTTTTTTATTTAGGCGCGCGCCTATCCGGCAATCGCCGTGATGCCACACGCATGTGACAGTGGCGTGCCACGCTGGCACTGCCACCTTCTTTCTTCTCAACCACCACCATCCCCTCACTTTTCACCCAACCCACACACACGGAATGCCCCCAAGAGCACCATGAAGCACCCAGAAGGCGTCCATGCGCGGCGCAGGGAACGAGGAGGAGGGCCAGGGAATGTAAGTCACCCTGCCCCTTCCTTTTGTCAAAACTGACAGCCCCCACCCCTTCCCACCACCCCCACTTCCCTCTCCCTCCATTTCCCAATGGCAACCATGCCCCCGCGCCCTCGTCATCGCTCCCCCGCCCTCGTCGTCGCTCCCCCGCCCTCGTCGTCGCCCCTGCGCTCCCGCGCCCTTGTTTTCGCCTCTGCGCTCTTGTTTTCGCCTCTGCGCTCTCATTTTCGCTCCTGTGCCCTCATCTTCGCCCTCGTCGTCGCCCCTGTGCTCCCGCGCCCTTGTTTTCGCCCCTGCACCCTCGTCGTCGCTCCCGCGCCCTCATCTTCGCCCCCTGTGCCCTTGTTTTCTCCCCTGCACCCTCATCTTCGCCCTCGTCGTCGCCCCTGCACTCCCGCGCCCTTGTCTTCGCCCCCGCACCATTGTTGTTGCCCCTGCCCTCCCGCGCCCTTGTCTTCGCCCTCCGCACTCTCGTTGTCACCCACCACCCACCCCCGCACCTTTGTCATCGCCTACCACACACCCATCACATCCCCATCACACACCCCTGCACTTGTGTTGTCACCTACCATGCCACCGCACCTGCATCTCACCTGTTGTTGCTCAACAGTGCCATCAAGCCCAGGTCCACCAGATCAGCCACTGATGCTGCCAAGGCAGTACAAGAGGCTTCTCAAGAGACAGAGTAAGTACATCACTCTTTTATCAGTAGCATAGATGTAGAGTAGTAGTATTATTAAAATAAATAAATTTCTTTTCAATTCACAAAAAGAAATCTGAACAATGTTTGATAGAGATGAAGATGAAGAAGAGCAGCCAGTCAAGAAGTCCCGTGTGTCTGCTGCAAAGAAGACCATGAAAACCAAGAAAGACAAGAAGTATGTATCACTTACTTGCTTGCTTGTACCGGTTGCTGACTTCCGATATTTATAGGACCTCTGCCGACCGTGATGCAGAGGACAAGGCTGCGAAAGCAGTTGCTAAGAAGAACATGACACTGTACGTATTGATATACTCATCATGATGCCTGCACCGTACTAATTAACTATAGTACGTCTAGAATCCTCCAGCAAAGTGGGGCTGGTGTAGCTCCACCGCCTTGCTCCACCGGCACAGGGATTCAGATCCCTTCCACTACCCCGCGCATTGTCTCTGACCGTGCACGTCGTCCTGATCCCGACTCAGGTGACGATGAAGACCCACAGGTCAACGCCGGTTCCAAAGACGACTCGAACTCCGGTGATGAAGAAGAACTTGCTGTGGTCAAGGATAAGGGTAAGGGTAGAGCTAGAGACTTGCACAACCTCGGTGCAGAGTCAGACAAGGACTCGGAGGCTGATGCGGATGTGGAGGATAAAGAGAATGACGATGAAGATGTTGATGAAGAGGCCGCTGGAGCTGCTGAGGGTGAAGTTGCTGGTGTGGGTGATGGAAGTGGTGACGACGAGGGTGATGCAACAATCATGGATGTTGATATCAATATCACTCCTCACAAGCCTGCTAAACGCGATGCTAGCCAGTCCCCACTCACTGACAAGCACACTGGTAAGGCTCAGCGCCGTAATGTCTCTCACTCCAGTGCTGCTTCCAGTGCTGCTTCTCTGCTGGCGCCTTCTCGCTCTCCCTCTCCATCCGACAACTTGCAGGAATTGCAGGGCGCTTCACGAACCACTGGTGGCTTCACACGTGGTAATGCCTTTGGCACCGCACCCAACATGGCTGATTTTGGTGAGTTTCTCAACTTGACTTCATCTGCTTTGCGCTTACCTTCAATCTAGTTCCTGTTGGTGATGTCCCGCCCATCGAGACTCATGGTAAGGGCAAGGTAGTCATGCACACCACCTTGGGGATGACCGACAAGCCCCACTCTGTAACCATGGCCCGCTTTCCTACGCTGGCACCAATCCTCAAGATTCTGACCAGGAAATTTCCGACTGTGACAGGTTAGTCATTCAACTCCCTTCTCATCTAATATGCTTGCTGATCTGAATATGTAGAGTCTGCTATTTCAGTCTTGGATGTTGATGGGGAATGGGAGGTCGCTGGTCCTTTTGCCCTTGCGCTAGAGGATGACATGGATGTGACTTGGAATAATGACTTCAAGTTGCTCATGCTTTTGGTAAGCTTGTCTTCATCTGCGTCTGAGCACTTCTAACTTCACAAAATCAGGAGCCCCTCCCTGCAGCATCTACTTCGGCCTTTCCCGCCTTTCCTCCTTCTCTCATATCAACTCACTCTGGCAGCTCAGTTGCCCACTCTGGTGGCTCTATTGCGCCCTCATCTATTGCGCCCTCAGCATCCATCTCATCTGTTGGTGTTGCTACTGCAGGTGCACTTCCGCCAGCTCCAGACCACATCCGTGCAGCTTATTCCTGTAAGGGCAACCTCAAGATGGCTGACAGCGCAGGCCTAGCAGAGGGAGAATCCAAAGTAATGAATAAGACTAACTACAATACATGAGAGAGCTGCTCACCTAGCAGAGGGAGAATCCAAAGAGAACAGGATAAGGATTCTCCATGCTAGGAAGCGAAGTATATACTGTAGTAGCGTGGGAGGAATGAAGGGTAACTGTACAGTACACCAGCCACAGGTCCGAACGAATATCACAAGGTACGAGGAAACATGTGATAATGAAGTGGAAGGGGGATGTACAGGAGTCGTGCCGGCGACCTGGGGAAGTGGGGACAAGGAGTAATGAAGTGGGAAAGGAGGATAGAGGTAGCCCGGACGAGCCCCGAAGTGTATCTACGAGTCCGAGCGAGTCCGAAGCGTCCGAGCGAGTCCGAGGTGTCCAAAGCGAGTCCGAGGTGTCCAAAGCGAGTCCGAGGCGAGTCTGAGGCGTGGGAAGACTCCGGAGTCACCGGACATGGCTCGGATGCGAAAGGAGTGGGCGGGAAGGAAGTGGAAAGGAAAGGAAGCGAAAAGGAACAAAGGGGAACAAAGGAAATGTAGGTAAGAGTCCATGGGATGAAGGAAAGGAGAGAAAATAGGAGTGTCCCCTTACAATTCCACCAAGCAGCACCTGATCCCGTACGCCGTTCTTCTTGAGGTCCCAGTCTCCTTGGTTCCTAACACCAAGCCCAACGATGGGGACATCATATCGGCGTATGAGCACTGGAAAGCTGCCAGTACTGCTCAAGAACGACTCAAGGCCAAATATGACGCTCACGATCCCAAATCCCCTCCTCTTCCTCCCTTTCCAAATGTCGAAAACACCCGCGCCATCTACATGAATCCCAGCAGCTTCAGCAACTACAATCCCCTCTTTCTGGCTGCCATTCAGCATCCAGATATTCTCACATATCTGGAGGGTGATGCTGGAGTGGGCTCGGCCATCTACAAGAAATTGTGGGGTGCAGTCAAGCCTGGCAAGGCTACCTTGGGCCAACTGGTGGAACGGATCAACACTGAGCAGAAGAAGGAGGAGAAGAGGTCTGCAAAGAAGAAGGCTGGGCCATCCAAATCGAAGTAAGTCATCAGCTTCATACAACCTAGAATTTCTCCCTATGCATATATCTTTGTACTACTATATTTATTGAAAATTGCATATATTTTGCACCATTTCTTGCTTGAGTCTCCATCATATTCTGTCTGAA